TAGCGTGACGTAACTTTTAGCGTTTATTTGAATATTTTCAAGCAATCAACTTTTTTTTAAATTTCTAGCATCTAGACTGACTGATAATAGACTATAATAATAACATTTCAGATTTAGGTCATTCGAGTCATATTTAAATTAAGATTTTATACTTATAATTTTCCACAAAATTAATATTTTTTGCTTCATATGCATCTAACAAATAATGATTTAGTCGGTATCTGCGTTTAAAAATATGAAGAAAACAATGCATCGAATATATTTATTAATTTAACACATCGAACTCTACGGTCCATATCGCATGAGACGTGATAATTTATATATTTTTTGTTCAAATAGTAATTTAATTGTTTTCTTAAATATTGTAATTTCAAGCATAAGAAATATACTTCGCTTATATGCCATTAGGAAATTTTTACAAGGAACGTACATTTATGCGAACATAGTATTAAAAGGAGAAGCGTCTGTGCAGCCCGCCGCGTCCCATTTTCCAGTGATTTAGATCTCCGAAAATATTCCCCGCTCTGGAAAATTGTACGCTGTTACTGTTTACTTTGTTAATTAGAACCAATGAACCTCGGACCTAAAAACCTTATACTTGTATATGTATGTACGTATGTATCTATACTTATTATAAAAATAAGTCCCCCGGCCGCGTCTTTCTGTCCTCCTGTCTGTCCTCCTGTCTGTCCTCCTGTCTGTCTGAACGCGATAAACTCGAAAACTACTGAACGGATTTTTATACGGTTTTCAACAATAGAAAGAGTAATTCTTGAGGAAGGTTTAGGTATATAATTTATTATGCTTTTATGTAAATTAGCTGAAATACGGCGACAAATGTTGAAGAGGTCGCAAAAAATCTCGCCAAATGGGAACTTTCCACGCGAACGCCGCGTAAACTAGCAAAGATACAGTTAAGTAATGTACTAGAGAATTCAAAATCTATAAAAATGCTACAAAAAAGTCCGCGATAGCATATCTCTATCTCTTACGGTTGACTTACAATAACCACTTTTATGTTAACATTTTTAATTAAAAACATTACGTTATTTTCAAAGTTATTTTCTTTAGTTCGGTATTAATCCTTATCCAAATGAATATTTTAGTTAGCTTAGTCATTTAATGCAGATTAAAATTGCTCTTTACACTAAATCAATCAGATGAATAGTTTTTGAGATATCGTTGTTAGAAGTAATTAGTAGCGAAACATTTTTAATGCTTGGCGAGCATTGAGATGCCTACGGCGAGTCCATCCCCTCTGCCCCGCATCGCTCGACCGCCTGCTCAAGCTATATAAACCGGGCGATGTAGCGCGCGATCCTAGGATACTTTTTACCGCGGGAAAATATCTTATTTCTGAGGAAAAATACAAAAACTGCAATGTAAGAGTATACTAATATGTAACACCTAAGAATTTAGTTTTTGGTCATCTGAACGCGGGCGGAGCCGCGGGCAATGCTAGTATTTTATAAAACAATGTAAAGAAATTTTCTTTTTTTAACATACACAATATACTCGTTTCAAAACATAATGAATATTCATTCCGTTGTAGTTTCATTCATCAGTTATAGTCCTTAATCAGACTGTGTTAAATATTAACCCAGTTGTTAATATTTTTGCCCTATTCCAAAATCGAACTCGCGATCGCCACAAACACCAGTAGAACACCTAATAAATTACATGTATCACAAAGATTTATATAAAATGGAGAATGCCAAATTATTTCAATCACTTGACAATTTTATCACATTACAGAGATATAAAAAATCGTCGCAGCCTACGTACATTTTCAGATAATCTCGTATAGGTTTTGTCAAAATAACTCAAGGATTTACGAGTTCAAATATAACGTGACAACAAAACAACTCACATCGTTACAAGTTTTTTTTACATATTATCATTTCAGTATTATAAATGATTCAAAATATTCTAGACACATTTTAAATAAAACTATCTTTTCGGATTTTTTCGCGAATTTATTTTGATTTTTGGTTCCCGACGTTTCGAATGCTTTACAGTAATCATGGTCACGGGAGAGTCTTTCCCGAAAATCCCAAAAATCCGAAAAGATAATTTTATTTAAAATGTCAAGTATTCGCGTAAATCTAAGACAGTATTATTCTAGACACATGTTGACGATGGAATATTGTACGTACCAATTTTGCTCTTTCCTAATTACAAACTTTATTTTAATATATGAAAAAGAGAAATGCTTTTGCACACATTTGTTATCAATTAGTCTTAGATTATTTATATTAATAATCTAAGCAATCAGTGTTTAATTTTTATTTTTGCTCTCTATTATAATTTATACCAACGTTATACAACGTGCAAACGAGTTTTTTAAACGACTGTCATGTTCTTAATATCATGTTACATCATTTTAATGAATTACTTTTTGTCAGTTCCGATCGTTCAGATTTAATTAAAGTATTTAGTTTAACATATTTTTTTTACGTTCAAATCTAATTATAATTAATGTCATCTTATTTGTAATGCCTTATCTGAAAGGAACTACTAGACACTTGTACCAATATCAGTATTTTTTTTTAATCTTTAGCTATTAACGAATATCTATTTTAACATTATTTTTTATTAGTAAAAACGATTTATCTCAAATACTATTATCGTAAATAAAAAAATATTAATCAATTCACAAATATTTTTTTCTCTTTACTAACTCATAATATTTTGCATAATAGAAATAGTATTTTCTATTTACTTTTTGCCTTTAAATTTAATTTGGATTGAGAAACGCTAAAAAATATTATTAATATTTACCAAAATAACAAATAACGACTGCGTAAAAAGCGAACTAAAAAGAAGAAAACAAGTTGACGAAGGAACCATAGTAATATGCAGTCGGAGACATACAGAATTCGTTGGCTTACTATTACAAGGTTCTATGTTAATTTTAATGAAGTTTAGTAACTTTTACATAGAACTTCGTTATTTTGTTATCGTAAAAAAAACAACATAGAACTATGTAAAGTTGAATATTTTGTAGTTATAGTGCCGCTATCTAGTGGTTTGTTTTTGCAAAACTGTAGCTAATGACACATAGAACCTTGTAGCATTAATAACTAAATAAGTACTAAAATTGTAACATAGAACTTTGTAATAGTGAGCCAACAAATTATGTGTATGTACAAGGTGCATGTTTTATAATAGCTTCATGTGTGCATGTCTTCCACTGCAATATACTATGTTCTTTCGTCAACTTGTTTCATCTTTTTAGTTCGCTTTTTATTATATCGGTGTAAAAATATGTGAAAATTATCATGTATCTGCATTTACTACACTTTATACACATACATAATTTCTAACACATAGTTATAATGTTCTTGTTGACATTCAATTTGAAAACTTTCTTCACGCTAATTACATTAGGAAACACGTTGTGAGTTACGCGCGTATTGCGCAATGCTCGAAACTGTGACGGATATTAGATCATTGGCGTGCATGCGCATTGGCAGGCGATGTTATTTATTTCTTATTGGACGATCTCTAATGCCAACCGAATGAACACACCAATATGACTACCGTTTGATAGAGTTATAGTCTCTAGGTATATAAATTATAAACAAAAATATCATTTAAACAGAAGATTTAGTTGCTGACAAAATAACTAATTGTAGAGATAAATTGTATACTGCCAATATGTTAGGTGCCTTTTGTTATTTAAAAATTTATATACCTATATTAAATAAAATATGAAAAATTATATATAATAAAAAGTAAATAAAAATTCTACTGATAAAATTTAAGTGTAGGGTTAATATAGTTAATGATACGATTTATTATATAGTTATTTTTCAAATAATTAAACTAAAATATATATCTTTTTGTTAATTACAATAAACTGGAGCCTATCTCTTAAATTATGTGCTGGTGGGAAAATCATTTAATAAAGTAGTTTGAGTGTAAACAAAATAAAAGTGTCCAGATTAAACCTATAATAAAGCTATTTCAACTCGTAAATGTTTTCGACTCGAAGTAATGACAGTGTTATTACAGATTCTTGGCAAAACTTATTTGTTTTTGCCAAATATAGCTAGCTGTTAAATCTCATGCAAAAAATTTAAACGTATTTCTTTATTTATTTTTTTTACTTTTTCCAAGACTTCTTAAGTCTAGATTAAATTAATTTAGTAAACTTTCAACGACTTTTTGTACTTTTCAGCAACATTGTAATAGCGATCCTGATTTACAATGTGCGATATATTGATTTTAGTATTTTGGCAATTATATTATAAACATCCTTTTTACAAATTAGTCGAAAGGAAGATATTGACTCATATTTATTACGGCCTACCTCTTCGCCTGCTAAAATGTTATTCTAGTTAGCCCAAAAACTAATTCTGTAAACCCAAAAGGTCCGTGTTGCCGGTCTTCCGTGGTTCACGTAATTGGTTCACGTATATACTTACCATGAATAAAAAAATGTTATTTAAATCAAAAAGATTTTTAAATTTAATTTCTTATTTAAAGTTTCACTTTCAGAATAATCAATTGCATTGTATATGTATTTAGCGATAATTAATTTTCTATTATGTTTAAGTTTAATTAAGGTCAGCTATCTATAAGCTAAATAATTATGAAGTAAAAGTAAAAGTACCGGAATACAATAATATTAAAATTAGAAGAGGAAAGACTCCTGCGCAATTGAGAGTGTTCAAGGTCGAACTACGCACGTAAACATTTTCTTGAAGGACTGTTAATATATTTGAAGGTTTAACGGGCGTCATTCGGAGTTGCACTTCGACATCTACGTAAACTAAAATAGTCCAGCGGCTACGACTGCCCGGCGACCGAGTTAGCCGCCGCAGTGCGTTCGCGAAGCCCTCTCACGCCGGTTCTATTTCAAACCGACGATGTCCCGACACACATCGCGCCGCTCGCGACACTAATACTACACGCGACGGTGAAATGGCACTGGACTTTCACATCGGAAAACACTTCCGCTTATGTAGGAAACGTAAACGCGCATACGCGTAAAAATGCCGCACATAAGCACTATCCCCAAAACCGCCAAAGGGATGGATTCCGCAACAAGCAAGCAGTTTAACATTCAAATACCGGAACCAAAAGTAAATGGAACAACTCCATATAATGGAGTAATGTCGCCAAATTCCAATGGGCCACTTTCACCGCCTATATTGGATGCGACTCCTAAAAAACCACCGAAAGCGCCTATGGCACGAGCAATACTTCCTGTCAAGAAATCTAAAACACTGCCAATTGAATTTGAGGAAAAAGTGCCACCTAAAATGTCTACTAATTTGCTAAATGGTAAAAAACTATTTGTTACTAAACCTTTAAAAGAAGTCCATACCATCCCTCAAAACACCCCAGATAAAACCAAATATTTAACGACTCGCTCTCCCAGCCCATCGTATAGGAGAAGTATGTCGGTTTCGGTGGAAACAGGTTCTATAGCAGAGCTAGCAAAGCGTCACGGTTCAAACAGTAACTTACTCATCTCACGGTCACCGAGTCCTTTATCATATAGTAGTGTAAAAAGTTCAGCTAGCCAATATTCGACATGCAGCAGCAACAGCACATATGTTCCGCTATCTCGATCTACGAGTATGACATCCACACTTTATAACAGGAGTCCCACTCCTCGAAGACTGTATCCACAAAGCTGCGATAATTCATATTCAGTAAATTTGAAAGAAGAACTTAAAGCTAAAGAACAAGCTCCGGTCGTTTTTGACGCGAATCTATCATTTGTACTGGGATGCAAAAAGCAACCAGTACGGCAAAGATTTAAACCGATTGCAGCACACCTAGAAGAAGGAACCTCATCGAATTATCTAACCTCTAAGATCGATAACTTTTTAATGAGAACTGATCATGTTATGGACGAATGGAGAAGATTGGGCCATAAAGATGAAGCTGATCTAGATAAGTATTGCGATGGGAAAAGAAGAAAAATTGGAAGATCTAAATCAGCTACTAATATCATGATCAAAGGTTTCACTTTATTCAGCCGCAACGGAAGTAGAGCCAGCAGTGTTTGTCGCTCGTCCAGAGGAATTTCCGAGGATAGGACAACAGTCTCTGAAATGGATGAGGTCGGTGAATCATACAAATATTTTAAAACTCTATATTTAATTTTTGCAAGCGCTGTTATCACGTAAATACACAAAAAATAGCAAATATGCGACAATAAATTATTATAGTCGGATGTTAGATTTCACGCGCTAGCGATGGCGCTACGGACGCGACCAGTATAAATGTACGGTTGCGACACTTGCCAAAACTTCTATTCATTGTTCTTTTTTTACGTTAGCTAAGAAATGTGTAAGATTTTTGTCTATCTGTCATCGTAAGCCGCTGTCAATTATGATGTAGCGGAAGTGTCTCTTTTACAATTATTTAAAAATTCTAACGCAAATAGACGGATGAACAGATTTAACCTGATAGGAAATACCTAATGGGCTTGGCAAACGATAATGCGTTGAAGCGAATGCAGATCCATCAAATCGTTGTTACGTTAAGACCTCCCACTCTACGAATGCGTTCCAATTTTAACTTGTTCTCTGAATTATTACCAGGTCGTTAGTGACCATTCATAATCATAATTATTTGTTTTATAAACATAATATATTGAAAATTACTCGCAGTTACATATGTCGAGTGCATAAGACATTAAATGCGTTTTAGTAGGTATTTCTTTTATAGGTACTCATGTATGCAAATAATAAAATATTAGTCTGTAAGTCAGTTTCAGGAAATATAGCGAATATTGTTTTTTTTTTTTGAAAATTAATGTTGCACCCTATCACATAGAAACAATTAAACGGACCTTGTATTATTAAAGGATATTGAACTACATAATTAAATAAAATACTATTAATACAATAACTTCTCTAAATAATACTTAGATTTACGCGAATATTTGACATTTTAATAAAATTAATAAAGAAATATTTAGTTGTAGGTTCCTTCTGTAATAACTACATACAAATTATAATGACCTTTGCAACGTCTAAAACTAGTTTTCCCCGTAACCATGATCGCTGAAAACGAATGTGAAACATCACGTAGGGAAGAAAGCAAAAATCAAAATAAGTCCGCGATAAAATCCGAGAGGATGGTTTTAATCAAATTCTCTACTAAATATTGTTTTCGTATGTAAAACTATTTGAAAGTTTGAATTAATTAGTTCTAGATTTATAATGATTGTTCAAACAATCCCAGTTGCAGTTAGGATTCACGTAGCGTAACGAACCCTGAATCAAAATTATTGACAGCTCGCCTTGCCCCACATTATATGTGTTGTTTTAATGTCTTCGTCTCGCTTCAAATGTAACTGCTTTGATATTTATAACAAAATTGCACATCGCACCAAAAATATTGCCACAGTGCGTTTATGATACTTGTGTTTCGTACATGTTATATATAACGTTTGCTAATTGCGCTACAATATATGAAAATCAACTTTTCTTAACATTTATATTATGTATTCGCAAATTTGATTTATGTTACTTTTCGGAGAGATGTGTCGACATAAATTAATTAACGTAAGTAGTCAAAGAAAAGTATTATTTCTAATATTTTTTTTCCTTAACTCCCAATTCTACTAATGTAAGGGAAAGAAAAAAAAATCAAAGATCTTTACAATCAAGACAGTGCGACACCGAATAGGATGCATTGTCCTAATGAAACTAATTTCTATAATTGATAAAATATTCGCTCCCTTCTCAAGGATCAAACCCCAGATTTCAAATAATGTCAATTAGAAATATACTCCACTGAACACTACTACCTGATCATCCAATAATAATATTTTATTGGCCAATATCTACCAATTATATGTATGTTACTAGCAACTTACCCTTGCTTTGCTCGGGCTCGTCCCTAGGTACGTTTTAATTTTTTTGAGCGGAGCCCTAATTGTTTTTCTATAATAAAAGTAGCCGAAGTTACTCCGTATAACATCAGCTATATGCCAGTCCCGTCAAAATCAGCCCAGCCGTTTCGTAGATTAGCCGTAACAAACAGACAGACAGATAGACAGACAGACAAAAATCTTAAACTTCATATGCATTTAGTAAAAAGCTGTTATTTTGACATTACAAACAGACACTTCAATTTTATTTATCTGTACAGATAAGACAATATAAGACTGAATAAGTAGTAGTAGTACCTACTAGACAAAGACATTTTTGGCATGACATTTTAGAGATTCCTTAAATAGAATTACTGATAATGCTGCGCCAAAATGTTTCTTAATGATTTATGAAGTATTAAAATGATTGATATAAATCATTAGTAGCTGCATTTATTTGTATTTATACCTACAGCAACTACAATGTGTTTATGTAATTATTTAACCACAATGGTTAATTACCTTAAAAATAATTGAAGTGGTTAAATAAACCTTAAAAAATATTTAAAAATAAGTGTTTCTTTTTATACTAAATACTCTGTTGTAAAAAATTCCTATATGTGTACACATAAACATATGTATTGCCACATTCCGGCTACATTATCAGACGTGTTCCATAGCACCATATTATTGTATTTATTTCGTTGAAGTTGAATAAAGAAAATTAATTAAAAACTTATATAGGGCCACATAAAAGATAATACATTTATTTATAATTTTTTGTTTAGTTTATCATAAGAATTTTGACTGTCTGAAGATTATCGGGCCAATTTTAAATTATTCACTGTGTACCTACCAAATATTGATCAAAATTTTTTTATGTTTATAGTTGTCAGAAGTTGGAGGTGAATTAGCTGAGGAGAGGGCGGCAGCGGCGTTAGCTACTGAGAGAGCAGACGCAGAGGCCGCAGAGAGATTACGCATAGAGAGAGATAACAGGGAGCTACTAGCTAACAATCAGAGACTACAACAGGTTTGTAGCTAAAGTAGAACAGTATAAAAACAATATTCCGAAAGTTTTTAATATTGATCTTGGTGTAAATTAATTATGTTGGACTATTTAGCAATTAATTCCTCTCAGTAAGACTAACAGAACCACGTGTCTAAAATGAGTCTAATATTTCATATAAATGAAATATTTCTGGACTCAATGTCAGACATTTAACTACTCATTTCTAAGAAAATCATTAATTCACGTGAACGTGACAAGAGAATGAAACGAATGACACTTACATAATTCATTTGTTACTAGGCATCGGAACGTCTAGAACTTGAGCTACTTCATTGGCGCTCGGCAGAGAACGGAGGCGCGGAGCCTTCAGACTCTGAAGGATCAGAAGCCGAAGTGGGCGCCAACAGTGACAAGTACAAGCGGCGCTTTGAGCGCGCGCACCGGGAGCTGCAACTACTGCGGGCGCAACTACGCCGCCAGCATGAGGACGACCTCGAACAACTCGTCACTGTTAAGAAGCAACTTGAAAAGAAGGTATGACGACTATTTCTCGAGCTTATCATAAATAAAAATTAAGACTTAGATGATAACGTTACACTATACGGAAGGGAACCTTATCTATCTATGTACACAATTTCAGAGGCCAATTTGGCGGAGTATTGCTCCAGCGAATTTGAATATAATGTATCATTTAAACTTAAGAATTTTCAGAAACCATCTTGTTGCAAATACCGAAGTCTAATTATTTTGCTTATTTTTACTCCCGCAATAAACAAAATGAGATCAGGGACGTCATGTTTCCAGAAAAACAAATGTGAAATCCATTTGAAATAATTATTTTAAACAACATACGCAATGGAAACTGAATTACGTCAAATGTGGGTCGCGATACCAATTGTAATTTTTTATCTCGATCCGAAACCCAGTTATCTTTGATCATCCTTAATAACGCTGATGCTGATAATGTCATAAAATTTGGACGATAGCACGTTCGAGGTAGTGTTACAGCGTATTGTCCTGTAAAACTAACAAAAGGTTAATAACGCGTGTTTATTTAGTGATGGTGGACGAAAATGAAGAGGTCAGTGCACTCAAAAACCAAAGGACACTGGTGAAGTTTATAAAATAAATTGTGAAATGTATCAATAACATCGACTTATTGGCCGCGGTCCAAGCCGAGTAGATCGACCGATGATCGGCCGAGATTACTTTTTATTCTGCTTGTGTTAATCCACAGACGTTTCATAATAGATTAAATTACGATTGTGTAATACGTGAATGGGTATAATGTTGTAAATCTTACTATTGATAGCATTCGTGAGTGTCATTATTAAAATGTCATTTTAAATTCGCTCATACAACTTTGCTGCTGAGCTTCCACATAGAAGATTTAACAAAAAAAACTGCTATTGAGCTATTTACGTAGATAAACCTTCAGTATTACGAAAATAACAAATGGATATGGCTTTTGTAACGACTATGTTTATCAAAATATTGCGTAATTATACAGCCATGTATCAAAACAATAATAACTCGAAATAATTATAATCGTTAAATTATGATTTAATGTTAATATTTGCTGTTAACGATCTCGGCCACAAATAAAGGCAAATGTAGGCGTTATTTTAAGTTTTCTCTCCTCTACTGCTTTTGTGCAAAGCTCTTAATCCAAGGGAGTGATCTCTGCCAAGTTTCTCCAAATCAGTTAAACATCCTTTGCATGATTGTTATGATATTGAATAAACATCCAAACATTTCGTATGTATAATATTAGTCAATTTATTTAGTAAATAATTATTTTGTTTTTAATAGGTTCAGGACGCTTACGAGGAGGTGGAAGAGCAACGCGCAGTGGCGGCGCAATGGAAACGCAAGTTGCAGAAACTTACCAACGATATGGCCGATCTCCGTTCCTTGCTCGATGAACAGGTACTTTCAAAATAAACGTTCTACATTAAACTTTAACTTTTTGATTATATATAATTTTGTAACTATTGTTCCTCCTTGTATCCTTATATTAAACCGACAAGTATACATTCATTTTTATGTTAAGGTATTAGCGGCTTACCCTCATACTGCTCGTGTGTGCCCTTAAGTGTTTTTTTTCTTATAATTAGAGTTCATATCTTAAAATGTTTTCGGCTGGCACCATCTTCGAAAATATCTGATTAGGTATCTATTCTAAATGGAAACCCCCGTTTAGTTATTTTTTACATCTTAGTGTCTGGAAATCGTTTTTTTTTTATTTTTTATTTATCCATTTTTAATGTAGACGTAATAAGCAGGTAATTTGACCACCTGAGAAGTATACTCTTTGAACAAAAAAAAGTCCAAATCGGTTCAGGCGTCTTCGAGTAATCAATCGATGAACATACATAAAAAAAGATTCCAGCGAATTGAGAACCTCCTCCTATTTGGAAGTCGGTTAATGAAGTGAATATATGTAAAAATGTTCAGTTCACAAATAAATTTTAATTAACAATATAATAATGCGTATGTACTATCTACCCAGACATGCCGCAACAACCTGCTAGAGAAGCGGCAGCGCAAGTTCGACGCGGAGCTGCACAGCGCGCACGAGGAGCTGAAGCGGGAGCGCGCCGCCAAGGAGCGGCTGTCGCGCGAGCGCGACCAGGCGCACGCCGAGAAGTACGCGCTCGAGCAGAGCCTCTCTGTGAGTTTTGGGTTATGTTGATCATCGAAATTTTCAGATTATGTTCGAAAAATTCTTTTGGGATATAATAGAATTCAAAATAAGCTTTTCGATAGATTCATTTTGGCTTTTACTATATCTCAAAAGATTTTTTTCCTATTATATCCCAACAGATTCATACAGACTTGACTAAATTCTTGATTTAATGATGTATAGTGTATATATATATGTTTAGAGAACGTCAAAGAGTACAATTTGAGTTTTGGTGCAAGTAAACCTTATTATTTTAAAAGTATTTTAAATACCCGTTGATTTATTTACACTTAAATATTTAGATAGATAACACTCAATCTATATCCCTTGCGGGATAGATAGAGATCGAAGTGCCAAGCACTACGAAGAGGTATGAATATACCTCTTCTATTGTTATCATTTTTATCAAGGTACGTTTATTTTTTTGAGCGGAACTCTAACTCTTTTTCTGAAATAAAAATAGCCTATGTTACCCCCTATAACATTAGCTATCTTCCAGTGAAAGTCCCGTCAAAATCATTTCAGCCGTTTCAGAGATTATCCGGAACAAACAGATAGACAAACAGACTCAAAAATTTAAAAAAATGAGGTTTTCTTATAAGTACCGTATATCATTTTATATGCATTTAGTAAAACACTGATATTTTGACATTACAAACAGACACTTCAATTTTATGTATCTGTATAGATATATAGCAGATTATTTATAATATAAAGTATGTATGTATTTATAGGAAGCTCGTCTAGAACTCGAGCTGAAGGACGAGCGCCTGGCATCGGCGACGCGCGAGCTGGAGGAGAAGGGCGGCGGCGACGAGGCGGCGGCGCTGCGGCGCGCGCGCGCCGACCTCGAGCGCCGCGTGCGCGACCAGGAGGAGGAGCTGGATGAGCTGGCCGGACAGATACAGGTAGCTGGCTGGATAGTGGATACAGAGTGAAAGGGAAAGATCAGTGTGTGTATTCAGCCCTTGTTAAGTGCGGGTTGGCGGACTTCACATGTCTTTTAAAAACTTGCTAGGTTCTCTCAGACATGCAGGTTTCCTCACGATGTTTTCCTTCACTATTAAGACAAATGGTAATCATGTTGGAAATGATTTGCACATAAAATTATCAGAGGTGCGAGAGGTTTGAAGTCGATTCACTCGGTTTCCGAAGCGAGCGCGTTACCACTGGGCTACCAAGAATAGTTGATATTTATGATATTTTATGTTTTAATTGGGACGACATATTATACTCGTAGTTATGTAATGTTATAATCCACTCTTCGTCCATTGTATTTTCCTATGAAATAATACTACGTATTTGGTTTTGTTACTTAACTTTTTTAGTCGATCTTTTTCATCCTTTACGGGTTTCAGGAAGTTTTATAACTAAGGACGACCATGTGTTGTTGTGTATTTGCATATTTGCGTAGGTACAATGAATTCTTATTTATTTTCAGTTATACATACGTTATCTATTGTAGTTTCACATTTTTCTAACTTATACATTATATGAGTTTCGTCAATAATTCGCAATAGGTATATGATGAACTAATATGATGAATATACATAAAGATTATGTATTTATAGGAGTAAAATATAATTTCAGCTTCTGGAAAGTTCGAAGCTCCGACTAGAGATGCTTCTAGAACAGCAACGTAAGGAAGCGCGCCTGGAAGCAGTCGCGCGGGACGAGGAGATGGAGGAGACCCGCGCTAACGCCTCCAAGAAGCTTAAGAGTAAGTAATACACGGTTTTTAAATAATAATATTTAAATATATCAATTTATAAGTTAAAATAAACCTTTCAAAATATTAAAATCAAGAAAACCAAATCAATAGTACAAAGTTAATAATGTTCAACAATTTATTTTACAATTGGCTATTTGATAGGTTTAAGTACTTATTTAAACGCTATTATTCGCAAAATGACGACAGTGACGTCACATTGAAGTATAAACAATTGAGTATCATACACAAGTTTGCATTTAATATAATCCATTCTACGTGACAATTGCGACGTAATCGTTGCTCATTTGGCACATTTTGAGGGCATCAATTAGAGGCGTACCGAGGCAATTACGAAATAATTCGTTTGATCCCTTGCTGTATTTATTGTTAATTAATATGTAGGATATTTAAGAATTCATTCTATAAATCGTACACTTTAGAAACACGATTACTCGTAGTTTCCTCGATAGAAAAAAAATCCAAAATGATTTCTAAAAAACAAACCGTTAGTTCGGCGTAAATAATTCAAGGAAGTTCATCAATTTTTAATAATAACAAAACTATACGTTTTCTATAACGTATACACTTTACATTTTCAAAATGTGTATTTGTTTTAATAATACGAAGGAAATACCTAAATTCGCACGCGTTCCGTCCATCCTAGCCACACTCCCCCCTGTCTGCTTTCGTCTTACTAAAATCAATTAATGCCAACAGCTCGGTGCCCTCTTAAGAAGAAAATAGTACCGAATTAATATCATCCATCGTGCCCCCAGTGTTAGAGAGCCAGCTGGAGAGCGAGCACGCGGAGCGGAGTCTGCTGCTGCGGGAGCGCCACGAGCTGGAGCGCCGCCTCGCCTCGCTGGAGGAGACCGCGCGCGCTGAGAACCAGGAGCAGGCGCAGCTCGTGCAGAGGCTTAAGAGGTGAATGCCGTTACCATAATTACGTTTTAATTTTATTGAGCGGAATACTAATCCTTTTTCTAAAATAAAAGTAGCCTATGTTACTCCCTTTAACATCAGCTATCTTTCAGTGAAAGTCCTGTCAAAATCAGTCTAACCGTTTCAGAGATTATCCGGAACAAACAGACAGACAGACAAAAATTTCAAAAAATGTGTTTTTCTTATAAGTACCGTATATAATTTCATATTTTATTTTGTAAAACGCTGTTATTTTGACATTACAAACAGACACATCAATTTTATTTATCTATCATTATTTATAGTATACTAAAAATGTTCTTGTTCGCTCTTTATATTTACTTAAACTTTGGTCCATACCAGAGTACTAACATCGGTTACCCGTGCAGTCGAATCAAAGGCAGTCTAGACAGGAGAATAATAAGTCAGAAACAGCTTTAGAGTTGACGAGTGTAACTGTAACTTACCACAAGATGGCATTACAGCCCTTTAACTTCGAAACCGCTCGTTATGAAAATTGGTATTTGTTAACAACCCTTACATTTGACAGACTTTCCGTTAAAATCAATCAATCAATCAATAAATCGTCTTATATATGTTTAATCTTATATATCTTTAAATTGGACTTTATTACATTTTGAAAGAGTTTTTAGTAAATTATTTTTAACATTTTACTTCTTATAGGGATCTGAAAAGATACCGCGCCCTGCTCCGCGACGCACAAACGATGCTCGAACAGAAGGAGAAGGAGGGAGGCGGTAAGGCGCAGATCAGGCAGTTAAAGAATCAGGTGTGTTATTTAAATACAATCGCAATTATAAATTTTCAAATAAAGACATTTATATTATTAATGAGAAAGCTTGAGAGTGGTAACTGTGTAAGTTTGCTACTTAACAGTTGAACGGATTCGAGTAAATGATATTCGGAAAAGCGATAAAAGAGATAGCTCATATTCCCAAACCTAACATATTATTATTTTTATCAACACCATCCGAGCAGCGTCGCGGGCAAAAGATAATATTTTATAATTATCATACAAAGGCTTGTAAATAGATACGTTTAGTATTTTTGTATCGATTGACTTCAATAAAGGAGGACGTCCTTAGTAGCGTGTATGTTTCAATAAAACCAATTCTAATGTTTATTTTATTACGACGATGGGCGATAATTTTACGTAATAACGTTATAAGAAAACATTGATGAAAAATTGCATAATTTTATGAAATGAATTATATTATTATGACTGAATTATCATCATTTTGTATAATACAAAGGAAGGGTTAATTAAAAATTACAATTTTTTCGATAAATTAACATTTATTTGCACTCGTTAATTCAAATATTTTTTTACTTAAACTATACAGATTAATAAGATTTTATCACGTCAAAAAGTAATTGTACTCAAAGTACAGTAACCAGAGGTAAATAATGCACATCGAGCTAAAGAGGGAGAAAGTCTGCTAACATCGGGTTTGTAGAGCGTCGTCTCATTCACTCCGAGCCGACGTCTGCCTCTTTAGCTCGATGTGCATTATTTACGGCAGATTACTATATTTCACGGTGTCAATGCCAACCAGGTGGAGGACTTGGAGCTAGCGGTGCGTGCGGCGAACAAGGCGCGGTCGACCGCCGAAGCGGAGGCGCTGGAGGCGGCCGCGGCGCTGGAGGAGTCGGCGCGCGCGCGCAACGACGCGGCCGAGCGCGCGCTCGCCGCCTCGCGCGACGCGGCCGCCGCGCGCGCGCAGCTCGACGACGCCGAGGAGGAGGCTGCGGAGGTATTGTCGTTTGTTTTATATTCATATCATTTATGCGCTAGTCATGACACTCGATCTCAGGCTACTTTCTCCACCGCTGTCCCCAGAACAAAATATTGTGACAATTCATTTATCGTAAGATCCTGCAATGTGTATAATAAGCAATATCATGACATCGACTTGTCCAATGATAGGTTCAATAAATTCGCTCACCATGCTACATATATACTATTCTTGGCTTTTGTTCGATTTATTGCTGCTAATTTTAAGTTCACTTCGTTTATGTTTTAAGTGGAAACTTTATTGGCTTAAGATTTTTGCTTAGAAGTGCTTAACTAAAATTTATTAATTATACGCTGTATGTCCCAATTATAAAATAGATAAATAAACGGTAGAGACCTGTACATAACGGTTTTAATGCTGTGTATGCTCACCATTGCACTGCCTGCGCGCACGGGCCCCAGAATGTCGCGTGCCAGGTACCCTCCGTGCCTGGCAAACCGGCAAAATATTGTCACCGACAATTGTTACCGCTCCGTGCACGGCACGTGACGGTGCTGGTCGGTGACGGAACGGTCTAGTGGAAAGAGTCTCATACTTTTCAACACAACGAATATTTTTTTGCTTGACACGGTCCTAGCACGGTCATGGTATGAGACGGTGTAGTGGGCAGACACCTAAACTATTTTTATTTTCAAAACGTATCTAGGGAATCGCCCGAGCGAAGTAAGGGCGCTAGTTATAAATACATAAAATTAATTCTAATGTATGTGTATGTGTGTGCGACAGCTGCTGAAGAAATACCGTGCGAGCACGCAGTCGCTGTGCGCGGCGCAGGCGCAGACGCGCGAGGCGGAGTGCCGCGCGGAGGCGGCGGCGGAGGAGGCGCGCGCGGCGCGCGAGCGTCTGGCCGAGCTCAGTGCGCGCCTGGCCACCGCCGAGGCCGGACACGACCACGAGCACCACGAGGCCGAGCGGCGGCTGGAACTGCGCAATAAGGTACGTGGAATTATGACCGACGTCCTTCATTAAAACGGTGGAGGCTTTGTGTTTGTCTGTGTGTGTTGTTTTAATATTTTTACTATATAATTATAGTTATAAAGAAATATTTACTATTTACTTACTTTATTATCGTTTTTATCATTCAATTTATGCGAAATTTTGTTTATATAAGTTCAATTATTATGTATAATAATAATGTTGATATATTAAAATTTTGTATTTTTTGTAATCTTATTATATGTATTTTTTATAAAATCTATATACATTGGTATAAATATTTACATATGTAGTCTATAAACGTCAGAAGAGCCATGTGGCTGTGGGAAAGTTATTACTTTGTCTTAAAGCAATAATAATGTATTCCTAAATCCTAAACAGGAATTAGAGTCCAGCCTAGAGTTGGAGGCGACATCGCGCGCGCGGCTGGAGGGGCAGCTGGCGCGGCTGCGCGACGCGCACGAGGCGCTGGCGGGCGAGCTGGCGGCCGCGCGCTCCAAGGACCACCTCGCCGCCGAGGAGCTGCGCAAGCTGACGCGGCAGCTTAGGTGAGGATGCCCATCTTTTTTATTTGATTACAGGCTATAATTATGTTTCAGTCCTTTATATATTACTAATGACTTATGTTAACATCGCTCGTGTGTCCCTAAGTGCCTAACAATAAGCCGATATCTCAACTACTCCAACGAACATTACGACTTCAAAGTTATTAATTATTATGATTTTTGAACTAAACACATTTCTATCGGCAATTACTAATAGCTATAGGCTATTTTTAATTTACTTAGCAGTAATTTAGCTCACTATTAATGAAAGAATTTTGAGCATATTACGGAGACTCGCTTACAAGAAATATTATGTGGGCACATACACCATCACTGCGACCACACTACATAGCAAATACTGCACTCTAAATAATGATACAATGAAATATAAATGTTCTGTTTTATTAAAAGCAATCAGTTGTAAACGTTGCTTCCATATTAAATTAATGTATAAATTGTCTAAATGAAATTAAAAATAAATGTAGGTATATTCAATTAAAAATGTCTAAGCAATATATTATAACTCCAAATAAACAGAGAGCTAAAAGAAGAGAATTCATCTCTCAACACGAAACTGAGCGAGGCGTCGCGCGCGCGTGCCGCGGCCGAGGCGTCCGCGCAGGCGGCGGCGGCGGAGGCGGCGGCGGCGCGCGACGAGGCGCGGCTGGCGGCGCGGCGCGCCACCGCGCTGCAGGAGGCCATCGCCGGCGACCTCTCCAGCCCGGCGGACTCGAGGGACACTGACAGGTGACGACCGGTTTTTTTTTGTTCTTGGCGCAAAGGTAGTATTGAGAAGAGAAGTGGTTTTTTTTGAAGTGAAACTTCTTTACGCACGCTCGGTTTGGGGAGTAAGCTGGTGAATGCGTTACGAAAAAATGTACGTACGTCTGTTGCCATGGTAACCGTTGTTATTGTCTTTCCTTAAATGATATTCTATAAATATATAATTGTAATATGCCTAATGTGCATTATTTTTAGTATCTCACCTATCCTAATTATTTTAAACATAAATTGAATTTCATAAAGGGTGCCGATAACCTACGGAAGTTTTACTTATTGCGCGTGTACACTACATTGTACATTCATACACGCACTCTTTAAATATTTTTTTCTGTTGAATTTCTATTTTATAATTTGTATTGCAATAGTCTGTCTACTAATACTTACAGTAGTCTAACGAAGGCGTCAGTTTTTTATTTTTTTCATCACAAGTATTATTTCAATGGTCTACTAATACACGCAGTAGTCTAGTGAAGGAGTTTGTTTAGACAGGGCAATGGTACACCATCCAAAATGGTACAGCATCCATGTGTCAATCCGAACGCCCTGTAGGGCTTGTGGCTGATCGACTGTCATACTTTTATAATAATATGGATTTGTATACTGGTTATATAATCTTGGATCAGTTTTTGAAAATGGATGTATTGAAATTAAATAAACTTAATATTTCTAATTAAAAATAATAATTTTTACTTTAATTTAGAATGTAACCCGAAACAGATTTTTGAATATAAGTATGTATCATTAATAATAATTTATGTTTAATTTTGTTTTTTTTTAGTGAAAACGACAGTTATAGCTCTGACGAATCGATCGGAACATTTTTAGCAAATCACAAGTTGAGTCCGTCAGCGCCCTCGCGCAGCAGCATGCAGCTGGACTCCCAAAAGTGAGCGATTTCCTTAATATTTTAATTATAAATTACTACGCGTGGGGAAATATAATACTTAGTTAACTTTCAGTATTTTTTACCGAATCCAATTTATAAAAATTAACTTAATATTTCTTAGTTCATTTAATACAAAACAACATTCTTTACCATTTTAAAACAACCTAATGTTTTACCATTTCTTTTTTTTTAAAGCACACTAAAACAAACATAATAATTAATCAGATATATGTGTCTTTACAATATTTAATTTCTTATAATATATCTCCATTCTATCATTATAGATCTCACAGCCCGGAAGGCCGTCAGAGCCGCACGAGCGTGGGGTCCGGCTCCAAGCCGCTGAGCCCCACGAAGGAGTCGTACGCATAACAGCCGGCCGGCGGCGGACTGCTCGCCGGCGCCCTGCCGCTGCTCTGCACCGCGCTATGCACGCGCACGCGCGCCCTCGACACGCACCGCGTCATCGAGTAGCCGCGCTTGATGACGGCGTCATGATGTGACGCGCCCTCTCTGCCCGTCTTGCATTGACATTAAACATCAATGCCGTGTAGACGGAGATGGCGTAGTCACGTGACACGCCTGTCAAGTAGTGACGTCATTGATATTGTTACAGATTATGACGTAGATGGCGTAACGGCTTATGTATGACGTGACGTGTAGTTGTATATGTGATGTGCTTTGACCGATGTGAATAGTTAATGGTGTTATTGACTAATACAAGAATTACAGATGCGTTTTAACCAATCACCGATTTTTATAGTTTGATGATATGGTATTTATTTACATTAATAATTGATTCGGATTTGTAATGAAAATACTAAATTAATCAAACCAAATAATAATTATAATTATTATAACAAAGCAATGGATGCGATCAATGATTAAGGTAAATATGTATTACTAGTGGATGAAACACAACGATGCATTAAATACTGTATAACGAATTCTCGACTTTTACCTCACTAATAGTACATGAATGCTAGAAAGTTCAAATGTAGAAAAGCTTCAATAGACTGTGTAAGGGATTTTATACACTTTCTAAATAATCGAATTTTACTCTTTAAAATGTATTGTAGTAATTAGGCGACGTTTGTGAATGTACACCTAACGTGCTAACAGTATCCGAAAGTTTCTTTGGCGATAATAATTTATTCTGCTCAATATTTCGATACATATACAGTAATATTTGTGAGGCTATAACGTATTTTATCTTTATTAAATATGTAGTAACTGACTTATGATATTGTGATTTTTGTATGTTTTCTAACAACACCCCACTAATGTTCTGCCAAGTTATCACACAATTTTTCGTGTGAAAATGTATGCATTCCAGAATTCTTGGCTTAGAAGTTTTTCATGCGATCTACACCGGCATATTTATACATGACTCGACTTAATTTATTTATATTAGATTTTATAGGAAATTAATTTGACGCTTAGGAATAATTGCGCTGTTTCGACAGACAGTCAGTATTTAGATGATATAAGGAATTTCAGATTAATGTTAGGTTGATTGTTATTTAGTTAATTAACGATTGTAAATAACTAGAATGCATATACATTTTTATTATTTAATTTGTAATATTTGTGTGGTCAGACTGTTAATCTATGATTTATTTGTTACAAATGAGTTGTTGCTTTATAGTAGACGATCAAACATATCCGTTAGATGATACATTGACTGGTTTTTATACTATGTAATTTTTTAATATCTTAGCAAATTTGCATGTCTGCTTCATATCACTTTCCTTTTATGTCAAAGAATCATCTCATAATATGTACTATTATATATGGAATAATTGGACGTAGTTATGCAAAATAGATCCAACCACAAAAATTTACTTTCGAGAAAATAGAAGTTTTAGTAAAATTGGCATGTAGGTGCCATTTATGACAGTAACTCAGAAAACGGTTTCCGTGGGCTGGATCCATTTTGCATAACGACGCCCAATTCACAATTGGAAAGTGATGTATTTTAGACAAGCTGTTGTGTACCATTTTATTAACATTTGTGAGTATAACTTTACATATATTCTAAATTTAAATCGTTCTATGTATACCATTTAGATATGTGTCTGTAACCGCAAGTATAAAGTTATCTATAATATATTGTGTAATGTATGATATGTGATGAAATGTTACTGAGTTCAATATTGGTTGTAAAATGAAATATTTAATAAAGTAACTTACGATCTTTTTACTTGTTATTATTTTCCTGTTTTTTTTTTTCGTAAATTAAAAATGCTTTTATTTATGCACTAGTACTTATTCATATGTGGTTTTTTTAATGTAAAGCAAAGAAAGGACTAGGGCGCGACTATATACTCTGTCTACCTAAAGAGAAGCAAAATAAAGTTTCTGATAAAAAATAAAAATCATACTTATAATTAACGCTACAACATGACAAATGCTCATTCCGTTTCCGGTTTCTCTGCAGTAGACCAACCAGTAGGTATTATATGATTTATTATCTTTTTATTATTCTAGTATACTTAGTTTCAATAATAAATGGTAAGATGAAATTGGACGAGAATTTAAATACTTGACTTTATTTTAAAGCCGACAAAATTTTAAGATATCTAATAGGTAAATATGTTTAGGTATGAACTATGAACTCTAATAGTTAAAATATTATACATCAATTTGCGATGTATTTTACGTATCGAAATATTTTAGATTTGCTGTGCATCGGCTGGCACCGACTTCAAAAAAATCTAATTAAGTATCTATTCTAAATGAAAACCCCCGTTTAGTTATTTTTTACATTTTAGTGCCTGGTAGGTCGGTTTTTTTTTAGTTTTTATTATGTAAGTATTCTTTATTCATATTATATTATATCAGTCCCATCAGTCATCCTGCACTGCAAGGTTAGAAAGAAATAGAAATTGCAGTGGGTAATTTTAGAATATATGTATATGTATGTGCATTAAGTCAATCTTTAAAATTATCATAAATTACGAGTCTATCTCAGAAGTAGGTCAGGTAGGCCAAGTACAATTCGGTGTAACAGCACACAGTTTTTATTATTTTATACAGAGTCAGAGTAAGGCCTCAAACAACATTACAAAAAAGAATGACGCATTATTTAAAACTTTAAGAGTGATGAAACTAAATACAACACTAAGCATGGAAATGATTGCTACTTTTAAATCATTATCACGTGATGAAATTACAACAATTTTTCACGTGATTTCACCTGCTACTTTTCACGCATAGATTTTTGATTTCGACGGTCTGGTGTCACACTTTATAGTATTTGCTATTAAAATGAAGTATGAAATGTCACCAATGGCGCTACTGATGTGATATGGAGCAGAGATATAGATCTGACGTAGTTGCATACGTACATGGTGCTTTGAATGAACCTATTTTCAAACAATGAACTTTCCCTCATACTTCTACAGGCTTGGGACAGACAATGTAAAATTAAATGAATTTTAAATATATCAGAGTAATCACACGGTAAAATTGTATTAAGCTAAGTTCCATAATTACATTGGCGTATTTAAAAGTTCATTGTTTTTATGTACAATAAGAATTTTTATAAAAGAATTTTATACACTTTTTTTTGCTTTTTGATTTTTTTGATGATTGATTTTTTTATGAGATATCTATATACAATAGTCTTCATTGCTTTTTAAAAATACAAGTTCCGCTGTTCGTTTTCTGCTTAATCGTGCTCTTTTTTGGGTTGCAAAATTTCCCGCTTTTGAAAATACTCTCTCACACTCCACTGATGTCACCACGATGTGACAGTGCTCATGAAATATTTCCGCCAAATTGGGGTACATATAGGAGTGAGATTTCCACCAAACTAATGGCGAAGAATCCCGCGGAAGCACTGGTTCATTAATAAACATTTCTAGCTCGTTCTCAGCGTTGGTGGTTATGTCTGTACGTATTACACATAATCATTCAGTAAAAATTATAAGTATTTGTTGGATAAAAAACTAAAAATGTGCTCTAAATTTAATTGTTGTTTCTAATTTAAAATTATTTCTAAGCAATATTTCTAAGAATCCGAAATCATGCAACTCGAAATAAATAAACTCCCCAATTTACTGATCAACGGTATTAACTGAAAATTGTATTTTGTTGAATAAAAAATCAATAAAAACATCAGTACGAAAATGTATACGGAAAATGCGAGTAACGAAATGCATTCGTGAGTAACGTTTCGGTACTCGGTACTAGATGGCGTACCCGTTACTCAGTAACGAATACATACGGTTTGCTACAGCTCTAGATTTCACCAAGTTGTGATTTGTAGCAGCCACTATGAATTTAAGTAGCAGGTGTGACGTATGATTACGTATTTCACGTGATTTTTCACTTGCTACTCGTGAAATGTTCCATCCCTATACAACACTGCTCCCGTCCTTTTTCCACTCAAGATGACAACGTCAGAAAACTCAAATATGTATTCTACATCAATTTTGACAACAACAAGAATAAAATAATGAATCTACAAATTACAATAATACATTATATATGAATCCTATTTTATCTATACATCTATATCTATACATATAATAAAATTGGAAGTAAATCGAATCTGTACATTAAATATTTTTTGGAAAATCTTATAGAAATAGACATTATTATCGATACAGAGGTCGAATCTATAGTTTTTAGAATTTTTGTCTGTCTGTCTGTCCGTCTGTCTGTCTGTTACCGGACTATGGTGATAACTGGGTACCCGGGTCAACGTATGTTTTACTACGGGAAAACATCTCATCTCTGAGAAATCTATACTAACTGTTAAACCGTATCTAGGGATGAACCCGAGCGGAGCGAGGGTGAGTCGCTAGTTTTATATAAAACTTTAAAATTAATATCAAGTTCACCTATTATTCAAATATAACATAAAATATTTTATCTGTTTTGTCCAACTGTACCAATACAGATAACAAATTCTCATTTCATTACGCGGTACGCCCCTTCAGCGCTGTCAAAGTGTATTGGAGATTGGAGGAGGATATTATTTAATTTATGTACCAAGAGTATTTTGATTTTCTAAATTAAAATACATTTTTCCGAAAAATACTTCATTTGTGTATTGCCTATGTTAGTGGTTGAAATTTGCAGCGTATAAATTGTCATATTTACGTAATTATAGAAAACGGCTAACTATAAGTATTGATTTTCCATAGGTCACCGTAAATAAAGGTTGAAATTTGAAAAAATACCATTTTTATAGCTTTATAAAACTCTTTCAAAATGACTGATTCAAAATACTTTACAACCACAAAAAAAGGCGAAATATTTGAGCTAAAATCTGAATTGAATAGTGATAAAAAAGAAAAAAAAAAGGAGGCAGTCAAGAAGGTATGTTACTTGCATCTTTTCATAGAATATTAGTCATAATAAGTAACTATCATATAATATTTTTACATATTATCTTACAAAAAATTGGATGTTAGTACTTTCATTTGTATATACATCTAATACAAAAATATGTTTTAGGTGATTGCTTCTATGACAGTAGGCAAAGATGTATCAGCCCTCTTTCCAGATGTAGTGAACTGCATGCAAACTGATAATTTAGAATTGAAGAAGTTGGTGTATTTGTACCTTATGAATTATGCTAAATCTCAACCCGATATGGCCATTATGGCAGTCAATACATTTGTCAAGGTATGTATTGCTTCTTTATATTTTTTATAATAACTTTTAAATAGAACTAAATCTTAAAGGGTTTCATTTTGCTTTTTATACTAGCAATATGCATGCTGTGACAGTGGAAAGAATGACAAAATGCAGCATTTAAAAGATGTTTCTTGTTGGTAGCAAAAAATAAGGGTTAATTTTGAAAGATTTATGAAAAGAAGATGTTATTAAAAACTATTATTTTTTTAAATAGTTGTAGGCCTGTTACTTATATAGCCTTTTTCATATATAAATTAATAAGAAATCCTAACTTATATGTGTAATTGAATAAACATAAAGTTAATTTATACAACTTTTAATTTGCACATTTTTCATACGAGTAATGTAATCAAAATACTATGAACAAAGTAAAAAATGATATTATATATGAATTTAAATTATTGTAAAGACAGAACTACCTATTAAGAATGAGTAGTCTAGCTATCTGTGTGTGTGTGACGTGTCTTTTTTATCGTTTTTAATGTCTACTGTACCATATTATGATGGGTGGAAGGATCTACCAACATACCAGCTTGTTAAGGTAAACAAATGATCCAGAGAACAAATCAATCATCCCTCTGTAGATTTACACATTTAATATGAATTAGTTAATATCATTAGAGAATTTAAAATTCTATGTATTATTCAATTAACTTGTACAGTTGCATGATTTTGGCAATCATTTGCATGATTTGTACTATAGAAATTCCTATTAAGCACAGATGTGTAAATCTACATAAAAATTGTTTATTATAATATTGGAACAGAAAGATAAATGAGAAATTTTACCATGCCTCATCAATAGAAGCACATTGGCTATTATTTATCCATATTTTTGTACCGTAGAACCTTGCTAATCTGATATGCAGTTTTGCACACCTCAAGTTTTATGAAGCTTTGATAAATCTATTGCTTAATATTATAATCATGTTGCCTTATTAAAATGCAATTTTAATTTTATTTGCTCAGCAATTTGTGTATCTATTATAATTATATTAAATGTGGCTTTGCTCACATTATGTAAACCCATATAGCTATAGCTATAAATAATGTATGTTGTACTCTGTATATTCATAACATTATATATCATTAAATTATGAAACATTAAAATAAATGGCTTTACAAAACAATAAAAAAACACAATTTGGTTAAAATGTATTGAATTATTTCAGTTATATAAATGTTTAGTCATATATAGCTTAATGTTGGTATTTTAAAGCATTATATAATAGTCACCTCATTCAAAAAAATTGGCATTCTGCCAAGCACATGAGTTGAATATTAATCACCTACATAAACCATGGTGTATTGTATGCTATAGATCACCATTAAAACTTAGTTGTACAAAATCATGAATGCTGCATCTGACTAGCAAGTTTCTACAGTATATGCTTATAGTCAAATTGCTTCAGTATGTTTGATGTCGCTCAATAGATTAAGCAAGTATATAGAACATTTATGGATATTTCTATAGGATTGTGAAGATTCGAACCCGTTGATTCGAGCACTGGCGGTACGGACGATGGGATGCATCCGTGTGGACAAGATTACCGAGTATTTGTGTGAACCACTGCGCAAGTGTCTGAAGGATGAGGACCCATATGTAAGGAAAACAGCCGCCGTGTGCGTCGCTAAGTTGTACGACATATCGCCAAGCATGGTCGAAGATCAGGTAATTTTTGGATAACTGCATTTTATCCCTTTGTTTACTAATGTATCCTGGCGATAATGTCATGCACAAGTTTATGCGCAAACAAGACTTCGCTCTATTAACAGTCACTCTTATGTAACAAAGTCGCTCTCTCAACATCAAGAAGGTGCGTGAAGTTCTTAATAACAATTGAAAATATAGCCATATATATCTTAGTTCTCACAAAAGACAAAAGACTAATGTTATAAATGTGAAAATAACTTTGTCTTACGGTTTGTTTGCATGTGGCATTTTAACGAGATCCAGTACCATCAAGACTCATTCCATCCATACTATCACTGTTGCAAACAGAATTTGAAGTCTTGCGAGTATGTTCTTGCATGATGAATGAACATAGGCTGCCTACCGTTTATGCCAGACACTACATCATTTTATTGTAATATGAAACACGCGTATATATTTCTAAAAGTAGTTTCCTACAATCTCACTTAATCTTTGCCAATTTTTTTTAACTATTCCAAAAAATTTAAAGTTTCATATGACTGAACATTTATCAGGTCACCCACACAAATAGATCGTTTTTATTTCCTTTTTTATTGGCATCGAACACTTGTAAAATAGCTCTGCCACTGATCAAATATTGTGTGACCTATTAAATTGCTAGCTTGTGACCTAAAAATGAAATCTGTAACCTCTTTGAAAATATAATATTTGCAGGGCTTCTTAGACCAACTGAAGGATTTGTTGAGCGATTCCAATCCAATGGTAGTGGCGAATGCTGTCGCTGCTCTTTCAGAAATAAATGAGGCCAGTGTCTCTGGACAACCTCTTGTTGGTAAGTGCACAATCTTTAGTTTGTAAGTAAATAGGTAGCTATTAACTGAAATATCTAAAAATTCTATACTAATTTAAAAGTCTTTTAATATTGTATTACAGTTTATCTACTGCCCCATGAGAATTAATTACTGGGATGAATATGTGTAATTATTCTATGTTAATTCAAGACATTATGTATGTGTTTAAGTTAATCTGATTTTTTATCCGCTATTTCTTGATCCACTATAAAAGTATTTCCAATGGATTCTCAGTTAAGCTATCCCAAGTTTTATTACTGAATAAGGCAAACAATTACAGAAATGAACGCACCAACAATCAATAAGCTACTAACAGCGTTGAACGAGTGCACGGAGTGGGGGCAAGTGTTCATACTGGACGCGCTCTCTAACTACTCCCCACGGGACTCGCGCGAGGCACACTCCATATGCGAACGTATCACGCCGAGACTGGCGCATGCTAATGCAGCTGTTGTGCTCTCCGCTGTCAAGGTATGTTTGTGTGACTCTAAGGTTATTTACCTTGTGTTTGGGTGTACCTAAAACGAAACGCACACTATAGTGTTAGCTTATTACACTTACACTATAGTGACTGGCAATGAAAATTAAATGCTATTCGTTAGTAAGTTTGAGAACGGCTGAACCGATTTGGCTATTTTGCTTTTAAATTATAATAGTCTCAATAAGTATTCTAGAAAAAAAATTGAACACAAAGCCATTTTATTGAAATTAGGACCTTTCTCAACTAATATATAATAAAATTATCTTGTTATCCTTCAGTTAATTCTTCACACTAAATATTATTTTTTACATAATTTCCAGGTGCTTATGAAATTAATGGAGATGCTCTCGGACGAGACAGAGTTAGTGGGTACGCTGTCCCGTAAACTGGCGCCTCCATTGGTGACGCTACTCAGCGCCGAGCCCGAAGTGCAATATGTAGCTCTGAGGAACATCAACCTGGTGGTGCAGAAGCGACCTGACATATTGAAGCATGAGATGAAGGTGGCTTATGTTTTGTTTCCTTGCTAGCTTCCAGTCATAATGTAACTCCGACCAATAAATAGTTCGAAAAACTAATGTTTTTGGAATTGAAAAAAAAATAGTTCAAATAAATTTCACTAGATGGTGTTATATGTCTTTTGATGTGAAACATCTATTGGCGCGCTTTGGCAGTAAAACCGACTAGTATGTCGTGACTGCAAACGGTATTACGCTCTATTACTTCCACGCCACCGTTTTCGACTATCTTGTGTGTCTGCGCGCGTATACTATACACTTTGTTGCTTCTCTGTGTGAGCTGCGTAATGTTTCTATCCGACTATAGTATACTTAACACGTTTACCGCATGTGTACAGTTACACGCTTCGTATTTTTTAAATAAAGATTTTTTTCTTTTAAAATAATTTGAATATTTGATTTTTAACTATGTCATATTTACTGTCTTTAAAAACCATCTTGTCATGCATATATTCTATACAAAATAGTTGCGATGTTTCACATCTGCCAAGTGTCCCGTGACAGCTTTATTTATTTTTTTAGATTTAATATTTATGTATATTAAATACATAAACATTCATAGACATTAAATTATGATTATTGTAATTTTAAATAATACATCCTTTTGCCAAACAAAGAAAAAAAAGGTAATTGACTTTAGACTTATGATTTGTTTATTATTATAACAGATACATACTTGAACTTCAAATGTATTTTACGTTATTTGGTTTATTAATAAGCTATTGTTATTGTTTGCAGGTGTTCTTCGTGAAATACAACGATCCCATCTACGTAAAGCTGGAGAAGTTGGACATAATGATCCGTCTGGCGTCGCAGGCCAACATCGCGCAGGTGCTGGGCGAGCTCAAGGAATACGCGACGGAGGTCGACGTGGACTTTGTGAGGAAGGCTGTGCGCGCCATCGGACGATGCGCTATCAAGGTATGTTTCATGACACTTTTCCCTAATAAACCTACCCCAATTGAAGTATTTATTGATAATAATAATTTTAATTCAAAATATTACATCGATACTTATTAGTAATAAAATAATTTAGGATTAAAGCCCTTAGCTAAAATCATTATTAATATTATTACTTATATTATTAATGCGAAAGTGTGTTTGTTCATTCTTCATGAAACAATGAATCAACGTTATCTGTAGTTATGAATAGTCCAAATAAATGATAAATTAAAGAGTATTAAACGAACCATGGAGCCAAACAGTTGTATTATTTTGTTCCCACATTACATAATGTTTATATGAATTTTTATTGATGAAAATTTTTTCCCAGGTGGAGCCGTCAGCGGAGCGCTGCGTGTCGACTCTGTTAGAGCTGATCCAGACGAAGGTGAACTACGTGGTGCAGGAGGCCATCGTCGTGATCAAGGACATCTTCCGCAAGTACCCCAACAAGTACGAGAGCATCATCAGCACGCTCTGCGAGAACCTCGACACGTTGGACGAGCCCGAGGCCAGGGCTTCTATGGTATTAACCTATTAAAAAAAACAAATTCAGAGTATTTTTTTCACCATTAATTGTTACATTTTTACTTAAAGTCATGAGTCTATACCACAAGCAGATAGAAAAAGTATCAAAATTATCTATATGTATATTCTACAGTCTAAACAGTTTTAAATGTTACGATGCTGTTATCTTATTATCTAGAAATTTATTAAGTAACAAAATTATGTTTTCTATGCAATTGGTCTTATTGTTTATTCTGCATTACTGTTTCTCGTAAATTTGTATGTGTAATATTCATATTTAAGGCGATGATGAGAGCATATGATTCTTATTGTTTAATGAAGTCAGGAAAATTTTATTAAAAAGTAAAAGAAAATATTGAAATATGTATATACAAAAATAACTAATTTACTTAATATTTGAGTAAAATTACATTATAATTCTACTTTAAATTGGGGATGGCTAACATTCTTAACTAATTTTAGGTATGGATAGTGGGCGAGTACGCTGAGCGTATCGACAACGCGGACGAGTTGCTAGACTCTTTCCTTGAAGGCTTCCATGATGAAAATGCACAAGTAAGTATGAAAGTCATCTATACAGATAAATAAAATTGAAGTGTCTGTTTGTAAGTTTTATCATAACAGTAATAACAGTTTTTTATGAAATGCATATGAAAGTATATATTATAAAAAAAAAAAAAACAATTTTTAACATTTTTATCTGCAGGGCTGTCTGTTTGTTTTGGCTTGTCTCCAATACGGCTGGACCGATTTTGATGGGACTTTCACTGTCAGATAGCTGATATTATAAGGAGTAACTTAGGCTACTTTTATTTTAGAAAAAGAATTAGGGTTCCGCGCGATAAATTAAAACCATGGAACTGAACAAAATCCGCATATGTAGAGACACAACTACACGCTAGTTAACAATAAGGTCTGTAAACACTAAAATGCGCTAAAAACAACATCTTTTGATTGTGAAATTGTACACGATCGAATCCATCTCGAATAAAATAAAAATAACAACAAAACATAAAAATACTCAAAAAAAGGCACGGACGTATGTTTGTGGGTGTTAGGCTTACTCAAATAAAAAGAAAGCACTAAAATGTATATATCCTGTGTGCAGGTGCAGCTGCAGCTGCTGACGGCGGTGGTGAAGCTGTTCCTGAAGCGTCCGGCCGACACGCAGGAGCTGGTGCAGCACGTGCTCAGCCTCGCCACGCAGGATTCCGACAACCCCGACCTGCGGTAAACATATGCCTGATGTTATAATAGAAACTTAAAATACAATATATTAAAAAATTGAGCTTTCTGTAAAGTTTATACCTTACATCGAGCTCATTTTTTTAGTATATGGTTGTATTCCCACCGTACGGCAAAAATGAAAATGATATTAGCTTTATTCAATTAGACTTATTTTCACTTTAGAATCGTCAATTAAAGATATTCACAGTAAAGAAACTCAACGGTCAAAATATCAACTTTAAATCTATATATTAAAATCGATGTGTGATGTATGTGTGTTCCCTCTGGACTCTGAAACGACGGAGCGATTTTGATGTCAGGTAATCTGCATATAAGCCCAGCGGGTGATCCTGTGAAATTTTGTAGCGATCGGAAATTTGAACTCGAGCGAAGCCGCGAGTACTGTTAGTATGATATATGAATGTAATTTAATACATACTAGCGACTCACACTCGCTTCGCTCGGGTTCGTTCCTAGGTACGTTTTAAATTAAAATGGATATAGTATCTTATCCTTAAGAGATAGACATATACCATCGCGGTCTTTTCTGTAGTGTTTTCTGTAGTAGTTAGTAGTTTTCTGTAGTTTTGTTATATCAAAGGGTTAGGCAGCGTTTTCGTTGAAAGCTCCCAGACAGCTTATTTTTTTCCGACATTTGCAACAAATATCGTTATATTTTAGCCAATGTATACAAAAACTTAACAAACAGCATTAAAACCTGTTGCGTGGTTTTAAAGATCTAAGCGTACATAGGGACAGACAGACAGCGGGAAGCGACTTTGTTTTATACTATGTAATGATAATGTATGAATAGCGACCGCGGCTTCATCTACTGGCGGCTGCTGTCGACGGACCCGGCGGCTGCCAAGGAGGTGGTGCTTGCCGACAAGCCTCTCATCAGCGAGGAGACCGACCTGCTGGAGCCCACGCTACTGGACGAGCTCATCTGCCACATCAGCTCCCTCGCCTCCGTCTACCACAAGCCGCCCACTGCTTTTGTTGAGGGTATGTCTTTGTATATCTGCTCTAGATATGGTTCTGTTGATGTTTCTTGTGTGAGTGAGTCTTACAGGCTATTGAATATCATATTGATATGGCTATATCATTAATAATATTTGAGTTTGTAAGACAACGCTTAAGTTTATAATATGATACTTTTTATATGTACTAAGAGCACCGCATGTAACGTCATCATACGTACCAGGCGATCATAAACGTTAAGGGAATATATGTAGTAAATACTTCGTATGCATTCTTATGACATGGCCTTACATAACATATAATGAGTATTCCTCTAGGCTTGTGGTCCCGTAGTACTCGTGATAAAAGTACCAGGCGATCATAAGTGTTGAGGAGTGTATGTTGTAAGAAATTGGTGTGCACTCTGTGCGGGCCTTTCTTACATTGCTTCATGTTTATGATACCTCAGTCCTTGTGACAATTTTTATGAACTAATATATACTACTAATATTATAAAGAGACAAAGTTTGTTTGTTTGTTTGAACGTGCTAATCTCAGGAAGTACTAAACTGATTTCAAAATTCCTTCCTTCCAATAATCCTTTTTTCATCAGGAAGCCCGTTTATTGAGGAAGGCTATAGCTATAATATCATCATACTACTACCCAAGAGAGCGGAGCAGTATTCATAAATGTCAACAAATCGGGCAGACTTCCATACATTGTTGTAAAGAGAAGGAAAAGAATAGTATGTTTCTTTGTACTTTGAACGCGGGTAAAACCGTGGGTTCTACTAGTGTTATTTATAAATAATAATATGGTACGAAATTTAAACAAATAACTTAACCCGGTTCACCGTATCAGGTCGCGGCGCGGGCGTGCGAAAGTCGCTGCCGGCGCGCGGCACCGTGGCGGAGGAGTCACAGCCGCAGCAGCCCACCGTCATACCCAACCAGGTAATAAGACCTTACTGGTGACTTTTTTTTAATGTTGGGAAATGCATTTACGCATACCACCTTACAGGTGGTACCACACCGGCTCTAAAAGCCAGTACTACCCGCTAAAACCCTCCCCCGTCTTAATGGGGCGTCGCAGGATTGCTTACGCACTCAACTACGACGCCCCGACGGTAGGTCTGCCGAAGCAGACCACAATGACCATGGGGTTGCTCCACAGTCCACTCTTCTATCAGGAAAGTACGAGGAGCAACCCGCGTGGTACACCGCCCACCGAAGTGGGCCAAAAAAATCATGTCTGTTGTATGGGAGCCCCCTTAAATATTTATTTTATTTTGTTTTTTAGTATTTGTTGTTATAGCGGCAACAGAAACACATCATCTGTGAAAATTTCAACTGTCTAACTATCACGGTTCATGAGATACAGCCTGGTGACAGACGGACAGACAGACACACAGATGGACAGCGGAGTCTTAGTAATAGGGTCCCGTTTTACCCTTTGGGTACGGAACCCTATAAAAAAAAGCAGTCTATAACATACTTAAACGGTACATACTATAGATTCAATACAAGTTTTTATACAATAATTTGTTAATTTAAACGTTTTTTTTTCAGGAATCGTTGATCGGTGACCTGCTGTCGATGGACATCGGCGGGCCGCCCGCCGCGCCCGCGCCCGCCTCCAACCTCGACCTGCTCGCCGGCGGACTCGACGTGCTTGTGAGGCTATTATATTGTTAATTTTTATACAAAAAAATATAAAACTAATATATTCTGATTTGCTGTTATGCTATTTGCTATTATTAGGTAACGTTTGTGAATTTGTGACGTTGTAGAGGGTAATCTCTGGATCTACTAAACCGATTTAGATGAAATTTGGTAAGAAGATAGTTTGAGACCCTGGGAAGGACATAGGACTTTTTCTCCCGGAAATCATCCTTTAAGGGGGTGAAAATGAGGATGAAAGTTTGTATTGGAAAGCAAGCTAGGGACAAACCCGAGCGAAGCGAGGGTGAGTCGTAGTACGGTTGTTTCATTACGCTCCATACATATCGCGAACTCTTCAGTGACTACTAGTATACCACTCGAGGTTGAGTTCGATATGATTCGTGTTGAAGAGTCCCATACATTTCGAAAAGGCGTGTTTTTTAACTATAATCATTTTTTTATAATCTTCAGCTGGGCGGCGGTCCGGAGCCGGCGGGCGCGGGCGTGGGCGCGGTGGGGGGCGCCACAGGGCTCCTGGGAGACATCTTCGGCGCCGCGCCGCCCGCCTCCTACACGCCGCCCAAGCAGTGCTGGCTGCCCGCTGACAAGGGGAAAGGTATGTACAGTATATACAGACGTACTGTTCACTGGTATTTTAATATGGATATTGAATAATTTGAACTAGGCTATTAAGGCAGTGGTAGCCCAGTGGTAACGCGCTCGCTTAGGAAACCGAGTGAAGCGAGTTCAAATCCCGGGTGTCGCACTTCTGAAATTTTCATGTGCGAATCATTTCCAATATGATCACCAGATGTCTTAAGGGCAAAGGAAAACATCCTGAGGAAACCTGCATGTCTGAGGCCCGTGCCCAGCAGTAGGACGTTAAAAAGGGCTGAATACAATTGAATATTACAATTTAATGTTAGTAATTGGTAACTTTTGTGTGATAAATACTGGCGTTTACTTATTCAATTTTGTGACTTCCGTACATTTCCATCATGCCACTGGCAAAAGTTTGTATGTACTTAGGCTTGTAATATTACTGCTAGTTATCTTGAAAAATAAAGAATGTGCTTTATATAGTTAATGCCTGAGAAGCGTTTCAGCACTTGTGTAATTTGTTATGTTATAAGAAATAAATTAAACAAAAAAAAATTACAGTAAAATTGTACGAAATATTAAATTAATTAAGTTATAAAAATTACTCTTATAATCAATCACACAATAATTATTGTTAATGCGAAAATTTGTATTTATATGTTTGTACTTCTTCATGCCCAATCGACGGATAAAACTTTCCGAAAGGTGTTTATAATATTATAAATAAAAAAGTCACCCACAGACGAATCCGGGCGAAGCTAGTAGTTGAGTAGATAATAGATAAAAAAACACTAAAAAGTAAAAAATAACTGGATGTTACTTTTCATTTACTATAGATACCTAATCAGATATTTTCGTAGTCGGTGTGCTTTGATTTGTATTGTATTGAAAAATCTATCATCCCCTATTTTCTACACTTAGGGTTAGTTTTTTTTTCAAATTTAAATGGGGCAAATTTGAGGTATACCCTATCCAATCAAAGAATCATACAAATTGGACTATACTGTAAAAAATTATGCGTGGTCAAACATAAAAACAAGTATAAGTGTTGAATTAAGAACCTCCTCCTTTTTTCGTCGGTTAAAAAGCAAGTCACAATAATTATTTTGTTTATGATCAGGCTTGGAGATATGGGGGACGTTCACTCGGCAGAACGGGCAGATCCGCATGGAGATGACGTTCACCAACAAGGCGATGCAAGCCATGAGCGGGTTCGCGATACAGCTAAATAAGAACAGGTAAATATTTACGTATTTTGTCCTTTTGACCTTTCGACTTATGTTAAAGATCTCGCTATATAGTTATTACTAGCGACTTACCCACGCTCCGCTCGGGTATGTTCCTGGGTAAGTTTAATGCCCGATTTCACCAACAACCCATAAGTTACCACCTATGTATGGTATTCCTAGCTTAAAAGTCCCCTAAACTAGCCCCTAAATTAAATTTCGTTTTACGATCGCCCATATTTCGAGCACCTAAATTTAGGGGGCCTTTTAATATTTAGGTGACCCCTAACTGTCGGTGAAACAGAAACTATCCCCTAACAGCCCCCTAACCATGCTTAGGGGATCCCTTAAACTTAGGTGACGTTGGTGAAATCGGGCATAAGTCTTTTTCTTAAATAAAAGTAGCCTAAGTTACTCCTTATAACATCAGCTATCTGCTAGTGAAAGTCCCATCAAAATTAGTCCAGACGTTTCGGAGATTAGCTGGAACAGACAGACATTTTTTTTAAATGTGTTTTTTTTTCTTATAAGTATACCGTATGTAATTTCATATGAATTTAGTAAAAAGCTTTGTTTTTTTTTTTATATTTTGTAATATCTGTTTGTACAGACACTTCAATTTTATTTATCTGTATAGATTATGTAAATTTTGTCCTTCTTTTTTATTACAGTATTTTAAATTTTAAAATTTTTAATACTTTGCAAATGCTTTTTAATAATTAATTGGAAAGCTGGCAAAATACCAATTTTCAACTTAAAAGCTTCGAAGTTAAAACGCTATATGTTATATATAAACCTATGGCTATATTTCAATATAAACATGTATATAGAATAATATATACACAAGTAAAGCAAGTAACAAGCGTTGTGTGTTCGGCGCAGTTTCGGCGTGTACCCGGGCGGCGCGCTGGCGGTGGGCGCGCTGGCGGCGGGCGCGCGCGCCGACGCGCCGCTGCCGCTGGCCGTGGCCGGGCCCGTGCAGCGCATGGACCCGCTCAACAACCTGCAGGTACCGCATCTAACACGTAACATTCCTACATCGCTCATCATGAACATGAACTTTGTCTAAACAGGAAGTGGGTCTCAAATTTTTCCGCGAATAACGGAACTGCGAATAAGGAGCTTTTACTGTATTCTAAATGTTGTTTTGCCTTTACGTATACTATTTTTTTATTGTCGTTATGACTTATAATTGAGGTACTATCTGTTCTGTTTTCTGTGTATGTTATGTGTTTAGTTTGTATTTTGTTGGTGTTCTGATAATAAATAAATATTTAGATTTCGGTTGGTATGATGATGGACCTTCATTATTGGGCATGTGTTGGACCTCATTTCATTTACATTGTTGGACCTCCACTAGTAGGCATGTGGTGCCCGGCAGAATAGCACCCAACAATTTTCTAACCAAAGGTTTCGTAATCTAAGCCATAAATAATACCGGAAGATGGGCAGTAACATCTTCCGGGAATACATACGAGTAGCTATCTGGTGGTCCTGAATTCGAGTCTCGGTCCGGCCGAATTTGGTAATTGGGTTTATCTGTTAAAAAATTTCAGTAACAGCCCGGAGTTAGGAAGTGGCCGTTACACCGCCGCGCCGAGGTATACCATTTAAAGCGGATCCTGCGTCTGTTTTGTCGAGATGACCGATATGATATCCGATCTACGATCTTTGATATCCAGTCTATGAAAAGGCACTATAATATTAACTCCTGCGCAGATAACTAGGTTCGGTTGTTCATGAGATTGGCCACCCTGGCCGATCGGCCATGAGGACATTATTATTATAACAAGTGTAATATGTGAAAAGTAGTATTCTCAAATCTAATAATAAAGCCAAATAATAACAGTAATTCGAAATTTACTAGCCGAATGTAAAAATATATATTGCAAATATTTTTTTATTTATTTAAACGCGCTATCAGTACACTATATTTAGTCTTCGCATTCGTTGCGATCAAATTAATGATTTAAAAAAGCGTAAATTACAAAATAACATACAAACATACAACTTTAGACATAGTTCAATTAAATTACTTAACTGTTAACTAACAACTGTTGAGGCCATTAAAAATATTTGATTACACCTCAATTTTCCATACAGGTGGCAGTGAAGAACAACATCGATGTGTTCTACTTCGCGTGCCTCATTCCGGCGCACGTGCTGTTCACAGAGGACGGGCAGCTCGACAAGCGAGTGTTTCTCACCACCTGGAAGGAGATCCCCGCCGCCAACGAGGTCCAGCACAGCATCCCCGGCGTGCTGGGCTCAGCGGATACCGTCGCACACAAGATGACCCTAAACAACATCTTCACTATCGCCAAACGCAACGTCGAAGGCCAAGACATGCTGTACCAATCACTCAAACTGACCAACAACATCTGGGTGCTCCTCGAGCTTAAGCTGCAGCCCGGCAACCCCGAAGCCACCCTCAGTCTCAAATCCCGCACCGTGGAGGTCGCCACGTGCATATTCCAAGCCTACGAAGCCATCATCAAATCGTAATCTCAACACACTTTCATATGTATATGTTGCTCTGAAACCATGTTATCTTGTATGATTATGAAGTATTCTTGTATAAGTTATTATGAGACGTATCGACTGTAAATTCCACTAGTTTTAAAAGTTTGTTTAGATATAGCTATGTACGCAAGCTCGTGGAGTTTCATTTCGGCTCCAGGAAGTTACACTTATTATTATTAAGAATTTTAATATTTTAAATAAATTTATGTTAACATTTTTACTGGTTTTATTTCTTTTGTTGTTAATGTTCATTTAAATATCGTTATGTTTATAATGTTTAATTTTATTGTTTTACCGTAGGAATTTAAGATTTTCCTGTAGTTAAAGGTATTCTAAATGTTGACCCAACCCAAGTAATAAGTTTTGCCTACATAAAATTAAGTTAAAATCTATACTTTTTCGTGAAATGCAGACAAAATTTCAACAACTATTGTTTTGGGGTCTGTATTCTGTACACCTCTGTACCTTGTAAGAGTCACGTGCTTTAAAAAAGACATTTCATGAACAGATTTAACTTTTTTACAATTTAATTACATATATTTTTAATTATTATACTAGCGACTCGCCTTCGCTCCGCTCGGGTTTGTTCCTAATTACGTTTTAAAAGTTTAGTAAAGATTTCTCTCTCACAGATGAGATATTTTCCCGCAGTAAAAAGTATCCTATATGTTGACCCGGATAACCAGCTATCATCATACCAAATTTCATCAAAATCCCTCCAGTGGGTTTTTCGGGATACGGTAACAGACAGACAAAAAAATCTAAAAAGTATAGATTTGGCCTCTGTATCTATAATAATGTCTATTACAATAAGATTTTCCAAAAAATATTTCATGTACAGATTCGGCTTAGTTACAATTTTATTATACTTATGTTAAAGATTTATTTTCATTATTTATATTTTTAGTTTTATTTATTATAAAAGTCCTGAATACTTCTTTAAAAATATAACGATATTAAAATATATGACGATAAATTATTGGTTCTCGAGCGTGGGTCAGAAATGAAAGTTAATAATAATATTTTTAATAGATTTTAATAAAGTATACATTAGTTTTAACTGTCCAAATGTCAATCAAATAGATTACAATGTTATTATTGAAAAAAAAACAAAAATGATTGGTTTAACTTAACTATACACAGTATACAGTAATGTAATAAAAGTAAAATATACATTTCTTTAAAAAGATAATACAAAGCAGATATAAAAAAGTTTTAAGGTGGACACGCGAAACAGCGGCCATAAGCTACTGTAATATAGAATTAAAATTGTACTTTTAAATAATAAATGACGAATATTACCTAATATTCGTAAAGTAATTTTTCATACATTTCAATAATTCCTGAAGTGAACGCCAGCACGCTCGGGGCAGGATTGAGCAAGTCTGTGATTGTTTGAATGGCGTTTTCCCCTTTTATTTTACAAAGAATTTTGTACACAAATGTTGCATTATAAGTTTTACTATACACGGTGGAAGTGTAGGGAGAGCCGCAAAGTTTATTTAAGTTGTTTATTTGTAGCAAGCACCATTCAAATTGGAACAGAGGGTGTACTTTTGTCCGATTAAATATATCAAGTAATTCGTCATCGCTAATAGTGCAATATTCCTTAAGGATCCTCTTAGCGGCTATACAGTCCTGAGTGGTCACTAGATCTTTCTGAGTGGTCGAGTCTAAGAGGGGACGGCTGACGATGTCGATGCTATCTGAGGAATCACTAAGATCATGATTCACTTTCTCAGCGACAACCCCAAGTAGGACATAAGACAGTATGATACTGTAAATTTCACAACTCATATCGTCTTCTTTATTTCGTTTGAAGTAAACCAATGTAATCAACAACAACCTCACATCGGCCGGGGCCGATTCTAAAGCGGCAAAATTGAATGAGCCATAGGTTTCTAAGAAGAAATGTTCGAAAAGCCCACGCGAGTCTATATTTTCCCAACCATTTTCGAAAACACATTTTCGAGCAGCGTAGTCTGGTTTGCGCACAGATTGAGTTTGAATAACTGATATTTCTTCGCTATCATTTATTTCTCTGTATTTAATGTTAATGTTTTTATCATTGAAATTTTTAAGCAAATCATAAGCATATTTTATAATATCTTTTGAAAACAAAATGGAGTTTTCCTGATCATAATCTTCAACTAAACGAGAAGCAACAATAATACCCCAGAAGTATAAGTTTACGTAAGGTATAGCAATATACTTTAAAGCAATACCCTTCTCAAACCAATGCGGATCTTGAATATCGATCTTTAGACTATTTCTGTTAGTGAAATACAATGAAGTTACACTTTCTTCATGTACACATTTCAGAAATTTTATTTCTAATTCATTTTTATTATCCAGAAATGTTTGTTTGTCTGATTCTGAAATGTATTTAAAAACTTCCTGTAAAGCTTCTTCTTCACTTCTACGCGACAACCACATGAGTAAACCTTTATACCGTTTTATATGTGAATATGGTATTTTACATGCTTTGAAAAACTGAAGGAAATAATCTTCCTTAAGTACATGGGAATCTGTTAACAATATGAAAAGTATCATTTTTTCTTTTGAAATCCTGTAATGTTGTAAAAAATTTTGTCGTTTAAATATGCCACATGTTATGTGATTGCTTTGCTCAAATTCCAACACAGTACCTTGTTTAAGTGGCACGTATGGCACTGAACTAAAACAATATTGTATATTAAAACTTATTACGGGACACGACAGCCTCTGAGCTAACTCAAAACATTCTTTTATAACGTCGGTCCCATGAGAAATTATGTAGTCAAACCCCATTTCTTCTAAAACTTGCAAATAAATATCCTTTGCCAGACACGGCTGAATGATCGCATTGTCATAATTTTCACCCAAAACAAATTCTTTTCCATGTAGTCTATTCCCCAGCTTGAAGTGAACATCAAGGTATTTTTTACTGTCATGGCCAGCTTTAACTATGAAGTGGCACTTAAGATTAGCTTTTTTTAATAATCTGAAATACTCTCTAACATAGTTAGCAAATTTATCAGATTCAGATCCCAAAACAAAAGGGATTCCTGATTTCTCGTATAATTTATAATATATGTTTTGACCGTCTACTACAACTTCAGTGTTTTCCAATTGATAAGATTCTAAATGTTCTTTGACCAAAAAGGTAAATGCTTTTATCCTCATTGCGGCGCCTGGAAATGATACAATATTAATAATGAAAAATCAAAAAAGAAACCATATTTGTATTAATTAGCGGACTAATTAATTTAAGATTGCTGTTAATTAAAGAATGAAGATTTAAATGCCCATAAATTAGACATAAACAAATACCTAATTATGTCCATAATTTTGACGTCAAATATATGCAGTAAACTAAGAAAAATTAATTTACTAAAATGAAAAGTCCTACTAGGTACGTAAAAAGCGGACTAAAAATACAGAGTAAGTTTACGAAAAAACAGTATTATGCAGTTGGAGACATACTTAAGTACATGTTTTATAACTGCCTCGGTGGTGTAGTGGCTAGAATGTACGGCTGCACACCCGAAGGTCCTGGGTTCGAGTCCCGGATCGGGCCAAGTTTAGTTATCGAGTCTTTCTGTATAGTAAGCTTCAGTAACAGCCCGGAGTTGGGAAGTTGGCGGTGTTACACCCCCGTGCCTCGGAGTCGGAGAGCACGTAAAGCAGTCGGTCCTGCGCTTTAACTCTCACCGGTCATGTAGAGTAGTGTCTGCGCGCAAACTTGTGTACTATTATATGTACTGCGCAGTTGATTGACTAGTCTCAATGAGATTTGCCGCCGTGGCCGGAATCGGTCAGGAGGGCATTATTATTATAAGTACTTGCTGCAAGTCTTGCTACGTGAATGTAATATGTATGTATAATGTATGTCTCAGACTGCATAATACTGTTTCTTCGTCAACTTATTCGCGTCTATTTAATTCGGTTTTAACGCAGCCAGGTTTTTTATTTTTGTAAATTATTTTTTTTACTTACAGATTTTTAGTTTTTGGTTAGTTAGATTTTTTTTATTTTATTTAACAATTTCTTATCCTAAATAATTTTTAAATAAATAAGTTGTATATATTTTTTTAATCGTTTCTTAAAAACTTGTATTTTGATACCCCACTCGATCGATTCGAACGAAATTTTTTTTTAAGACACAAATTAGCGCCTACGACAGTCGCGTTATCAAGACGAATCGAAAGACGTATGAAAAAAAAAACATAACCCTAATTTGGGCTTCACCGCAATCGGGTAAAATATAAAAAAATATAGTATTATTTTTATTATTCATAATATTATCTTCTCAAATTTTTTAAATTAACGACTAATGCCCTAGTCTGAGGCTCAAACAAAAATAATATTATGTCAAAAGTCAGATAAAGTCCCTGGTTGCCTCTAGTTAGGTTAGTATATGTCACCTCATCCACGAACTTTTTGTTTAATTATGCAACGACATTTTTTACAAGGACTCACTCACTCCACTGAAAGCATAACCTTGCCACATATTGTGCACTGTAATCATTGTATTCATATGATTAGAAAGTCCTTTGTTGCATACCTTATTTATCCTTTAGTCTAAGAATAGGTGTTACACTAGAAGAATAATTATATGATACTAGCAACTTACCCTCGCTTCGCTCGTGTGCGTTTCAAGAAGCTCAACAGTAGTCTATATATGAAATTTTATCCAAATCCGTCCAACCGTTTCAGCACAAAGTTTGTACTAACAAACATGCATACGTACGAACTTTCGTAGATATCATAGCAGTGCGATTAATTGCATCATAACTTCAACTAAACTTTGAACTTTCAACTAAAATTAGTGACTCTTTGTTAATTAATACATAGTAACATTCCTTTTTCAAACTGTCACATTAAAAATATAGGATACTAGGCAAATAAGTATTGAAATACTTATTTGCTTAGTATCCTATATTTTAATGAATTAAAAACGTATCTATTGGAAATAATTTCGATATTACCTTGCTGTAAGCTGATTCTTCTTCATATAGCACCCACAACAATGGGTGAAGAGCTGTCTTCAGACTGTACTTAGGTACTAAGTACTCACTACTGCAGACTGCTCTAGAATCAACGGGGTAAAATACTATGGGTCCATGACTCATGGGAGTAAGAGATATATATAGTATATACGTATTACGTACGTATAATATATGCGTTACATGTGTACATACAATCAGAATAAGTATTGAAATATTTATTTGCTTAGTATCCTATATTTTAATGAATTAAAAACGTATCTATTGGAAATAATTTCGATATTACCTTGCTGTAAGCTGATTCTTCTTCATATAGCACCCACAACAATGGGTGAAGAGCTGTCTTCAGACTGTACTTAGGTACTAAGTACTCACTACTGCAGACTGCTCTAGAATCAACGGGGTAAAATACTATGGGTCCATGACTCATGGGAGTAAGAGATATATATAGTATATACGTATTACGTACGTATAATATATGCGTTACATGTGTACATACAATCAGAATCGTGAAGCGACGTGCTCTTCGAGATAATATAAATATCGATAAAAATTAAATAAGTAGATATAATATTAATATATTGCCAATTCAAAATTGTAGGTAATTATTGGGACATGCTCTTATAAACTCGTATAATTGCAAGTTTTATAATTAAATGACTTTGTTTTTAAAGTTGTTTGATATTGTTTTAATTTTTTATGATACTTTTTTAGTGTAACCTAAACTCAAACCATAAGTCATATTTTGGATAATTTATAATGAAGTTTTCCGTTAAACAACATAGAATATTTTAACTATTGTTTTACAAACAATAAGCACACAGCTTCAGTGGTGTAATGGTTAGCGTGCACGGCTGCAGATCTGAAGGTCCTGGGGTCTTGTTGCGGGTCGGGCTGAATTTAGTTATTGGGTTTTTTTGTTAAGATAAGCTCAATTCTTAAGTTTACAACAACCCGGAGTTGGGAAGTTGACGATGTTTCACCCCTTTGAAGTACACGTAAAGCCGTTGGTCCTGTGCCTAATCTCTCACTATTCATGTTAAATAATTGTTGCCGGAGTATAAATGACGGGAATGGAGAGTGCACTTGTGTCTGCGCGTACATTTATGCATTACAATATTTATCTACTGTGCAGATGCCCACTATCTGTGAGATTGGCTATTGTAGCCGAAATAGGTCAGTAGCATGTCATTTTAGACTTTTTTTGCATATAGGAACTCGTATGTATAAAAATTTAAGATGTTTATGGCTTAATTATAAGATCTTAATGGCTATAAATAAGGTGTATCAATATTTAATATTTGTTATTTCTAATCTCTAATCAAACAACATATTTTTTTAATCGAAAAGATAAAATAGTTATTTGTTAATAGTAAAACCGAGTATTTCATTATAATATTTCATAAAAGAATTTTATAATAATATTTTTATTAATCGATATTCGATATATAACTTCCATCACTAAATTTTATTTTGGCTATCTAAAGAATAAGCATTTTGGTAATTCCCCGAAAATATCTCAATTACCTACTTTATTATTTATCTGTGGTATAGACTACATAACCAAAGCAATATATCGTGCAGATAAAAAACTAACATAACTTAATCGATATTTAAGTTTTCATCGATTAAAAATTATTAAATAAACGAAATTCAATTTTATAAATTTATATTTATAAAAATTTTATCTACAATACTTACAAATAATTTTGGTATCTTAAATATTTACTCATACTTAATTTTTTTACAAATTAAAGTACACGACTTCTTCAGTCGTGAGTAATGTATACTATAATATTATATAACTCGTAAGTCGTATGACAAACTGATATAAACTTGCTAATTCTCTTAAAAAAGATCGTCTCAAGATCTCAATGTTTTTGTATTTGGCTATTAATATTTAACTTTTTTAACTTGCAATGTTTGTTCAGCTCAAATCTTGCAACTGAATTTTAAAGGAGTTATCATCAACCGGTAGAGCTGAAATTTCGCATACACGTTTAAAATTTAGATGACAATGCATATGCAATGCAATATGGATGGTTAGATACGTGACATCATTCCATAGAGTAACTTAAATATACTGAGAATATTAAATCCAACGATGGCGGACTATTAGGTATGCAAGGTGTATAGAAAATATCGATATCAATATATTGATATATAATAATAATATTTTATTTATTTTTCATCGTTAAAATATCCATATATAAAAAAATATCCATATATAAAAAAATATCGATATATATATATCATATGAGTACATAAAAAGTCTGTACCTGTATCGATTTACCAATGCCAAAAATATCGATATTTATCGTTATCGAAGATACGTTGATATCGATATCGAAAAAACTCAAAATATCAAAACGAAGTATCGATAGAGCCCGCCCAAAAGTGAATACCAACTAAATCGGACATATTGCGGTTTTTAGGGTATGCCGTATCCGAAGGGTGCCAACGGAACCCTATTACTAAGCCTACGCTGTCCGTCCGTCCGGCCAGAGGGCTATACCTCATGAACCGTAATAGGTAGAGAGTTGAAATTTTTACAGGATATTTAAATATCAATAACAGAAATATCAAAATGAAAGGGTTTGCTGAGAAGAATACGAATAAATACCTAAAAAATAAACTTTAAAATTAAATCAGACTGATTTATTCCCCATTTTACTTATATAACGCTTGTTTTAAAATTGTTTGTTTAATATCTAATACCTTGATACGAGCAATTCTTGTATATTTATCTATACCGGCGATCTCGGTAACGGCTAACGATTTCGCTGAAATTTGGTATGTAAGGGTTTTCAGGGACGAAAAATCGATCGAAATCGAATGTCTGGGAAAATGCTCGTTTTCAAGTTTTCATGCCGTTACCTTTTTCGCATTATTTCACGCAAGATATGGTTGCTAAATGTGCTCTGGCATAAGCATCGGGGACAAGCAAGACACAAGATTGAAAATCAAAGGCGGTTTTGAATCGTGGTCGGATACAAAGTTTTACTTGTGTATTTATTCAAGTTTAGTTTTTTTGTGTTTTTATGCCAAATTAAAAAAAATGTAAGTTTATGGTTTAAACCTCCGAGCGAAGCTCGGTCGCCCATAAATTTGAGGTTCGAAACGTAATCATTCTCCTTTTGTAATAAATACTGACATTTCGAACGTCTGCTCTGTTATCTGTAGCTCACTCAATTCAAGACATTTGAAAAAGGCGCACAATTTCAAATTGTGAATTCTCACTTTTTACTTCGGAAATGTCGGATTAGTATCGATAGTAAATGATAACTATCATTAAAAAAAAAATTCATACTTCCATACTAATATTATAAAAAAAATTATAATATATTTATTTACAGTTCATTTAAGTAGGAAAATTAGCGAGAATGGTTGCTAACCAACTTTAAATCATTATATATTCTAAACTGTTATTTAAAATGAAAAATTTTTGCAGTTTTTATGCAGTCGGGTTTTTTATTTTTATAATATATTTACTTATTGTTTGAAAGTTTATGTTATTTAAATTTAAAAGAAATATCTAATGGAAATTTAACTTACTTGTAATTGTCATATTGATTTGAAACTGCACGTGTTTGTACTTCTGTGCAGTGGTTCGGTATCGTCGGCCTGATCTGACGGTAAGGCCAGAAGATGGATAGTGGAACTCTTCAACGGCAAATAGATCCTTTAGGCTTATTTTTTTGATTTGACAAGCCAATACGTTAAAATTGGATTTTAGAGTCTGACTTTTTATGTTACTAATAAAAGCGAATTTTAGTTCGTCATTCTTCATAAAAAATTAGCATTAAACTAACTTAAACGGCTTAAGCGAATATTTTATTTAAATATTTTCTTCTTACTTTGCTACTATGTGTACACTAAAAATGGAAAATAAACTTTATTAAAAACACTAAAAAGTTAAAAAAACCCCCTCAGGACCCGCTTATGGTTCTTACACCTACCCTACCCCAGCCTGCAAATTTATGATATTTGCAATGAGAAAAATACTAATCGATAGATTTTCAATAGCTCAATTTAACTACGTAGCCCTTTCAAATTGCTCACCTTTATTTATTTAATTAAAAATCAATAAAGTCTTTGAAAAAAAATTAATTTATCTGTATATTCAAACTCCTATATCTTTTGATGTATACAATATTTCAAATTGCTCAAAGTTCTAAAACACTGCTCAAGTTGCATTTGTAATTGCTCAAGTAGAGTTCTTACCAGCTCCACTTTCGCTGATTATTAAATAATTAAAAGTATAGTTGTAATAAATGTAACGTAGGTTAAGTGAGCGTGCGCATGCGCACCGCGCATTGTCGGTCGGCCTCGGCGGGCTTGGACAATCGTTCCAATTCAACGTCTTAATTCTGTTTCTCGGTGGATTTCTTTAAATTTATTGAATTTATGAATTGTTCACATTACGTGATTCCACTTCAGATATTATAACATAAAGAACAGATCTGGAATCTACCAATAAATGAAAATTAATACCAACAGATAAATTAAGACAAAATCTTATGTTCAAATGCTTATTCTATTAAGGTAATAGCCATGACAGGGATCATTAGTAAAATGTTATTAACATCAATACAAGACGGAACTTTTTTTATTTTTAAATATACATATATTTAATAATTAAGGAAAGTGGAGCTGGTGAGAACTCTACTTGAGCAATTACAAATGCAACTTGAGCAGTATTTTAGAACTTTGAGCAATTTAAAATATTGTATATATCAAAAGATATAGAAATTTGAATATACGGATAAATGATTTTTTTTTCAAGGACTTTATTGATTTTTAATTTTATAATTAATGGTGAGCAATTTGGAAGGGCTACGTAGTTGAATTGAGCTATTAAAAATCTATCGATTAGTATTTTTTTCATTGCGAATATCATAAATTTGCAGGCTGGGGTAGGGTACCTGGTTCTTACCCTGTCATATTTACCTACTAAATATTCATGTCTTAAAGTATTGTCAGCTGGTACCGACTACGAAAATATCTGATTAGGTATTTATAGTAAATGAAAACTACCATTCGTTATTTTTTACTTTATGTGTTTTGAAGTCCGTTTAAAATTTTTTTTTACGTTTAGTATCTATGGGAATGGGAATATTCAAAACTATGTATATTCAACAAAAAATGGTAGAAAATAAATTTATTATTTATTATAATATAATAAAAGACACATAAATCTTAAAATTTATTTAATAAATTTTTACAACATGGTTAAAATATCCATGTTTAATTCATATGTTTTTTCTTACTTTTTTAAAATAATATAAATTTGTCCAAACTTCCTTACATAAAAATATTTTTTTAATATTAACATTTGTTAATTTACAGAAAATTCTATTTTGAATAAAATACATATTTAGACATTGAAATAAAAAAATAAAATTAAGTACAGATTCAAAAAAAAAAACAAACAAAATTTAAGGCACAAGTAAATTCCTAGAACTATAAAAATGCATCAAAAAATTAATTAAATACATAAGTCAAGTGAATGACAGTGTTCAAATCGAACACCACTGTATCTATACATCTAAGGTGTCATGTACATAATATGTATGTAACAAGTCAAAATCCACATCAAACATTCAAAAAGTATATAATATTATTAAAATTAATCTATTTTGACGAGAAACTCTTCTATCTGGACCTTCTGCCGCATAATGGCGGAGAGTACCACTTCGGTGCTGCACACTACATTTAAAGTCTTTTCCGACTGTAAAAGATAATACACTAAATGTAGATCATTGGGCACAGTCAGTACTAAGTAGCTGAAGGGCTTTTGCGTGTGCATTTCTTGTATGGAGACGTACGAGCGGCGGTTCTTTTCGACTTTTCCGCCGCAGAGTTCTATCATCTCGGTGAGTCCCGCTTTGGATGGTTTGACGCAGGGAGTAAGGAAGAAGGTGATACCTTCAAACAGTTTCTTTCTCTGTTCCCCGCATAGTAATACTTCATCGATGTCACATTTGAAAATTTTGTTGAACGCTTCGTCCCGAAGGCCGTGCTTGGCCTCGTCTGCGAACTTGTTCAGTCTCTGACTCTCGAGCACCCACTCCGGCGTGAGCAGATGCTTCACTGTAATGAGACAGCTCACCAGCTTGCAGGTCCGAACCAATTTCTCCATGACGAGATGTGTTGCTTCTGAAGCTGACGACACAACTAAGCCACCAAGTTGCCTGCGGAAGAAAATGTACCATATTAAGACTTTTTCAAAATAAGGACGTTTAAAAGTTACCTATAGGTATATATACACTTTTTGTGCTATCTATGTGTTATTTGAATGATATAAATATTTAAAAAGAGTGTGATAATATATTAATTTTGTTATTTAGTATTAAAACAGGAAAAGCACAGTGGATAACTGTCAAAAAGATGCCGTCAATCGTGGCCAACCAACCATTTACAATACGGTCCATATACGGCATAGAATTTAATGTAAATATTTGCTTGTTGTGACCATGTTCGGCTTCAAAAGTCACCTAACGAAAGGCATCAAACTTATTTTAGTTGAGCTACAGACCAATGGTTACCGGTATTGCCATTTCCTTTTACCAAATATTAGGGGTTAAAGTATGAAATAGCCGTTTTATTGTAATAGGTACTTCAAAATTGACATAGAACCTTCATGGTTTGAGATTTTTGAGTGAAACTTTTTTCACATGGTACCTATGTAGTTCTTCTTTTAAAAAATGTGCAACATTTGATTATCGACTTTCAGTGGTTTTTTTTTATTCAGCTTAGACAAGAAAGATGGATACTTGGAAAATTCGAGTGACTTTCGAATACGAGTTCCGATGCGGAACTAACGCGGCAGAAACAGCTCGCAATATCAATGTTGCGTTTGGAGAAGTGACTGCTAATGAACGCACCGTGCGATTTTGGTTTAAACGGTTTCGTGATGGATACTTTGATTTGAAGAACCAACCACGTGGAAGACGGCCCACACTCATGCCCCGACTCATGAATCGATCTTCACCATTATTGCTCCATGATAAGGCGAGACCTCATACAGCACGAGAAACCGTTTTAACCCTACAGGAACTGCAATTAGAAACCATACGTCACCCTCCGTGTTCGTGATTTGGAAAATTTTCTACGTGATAAAAAGTTTTCTTCTCAGGAGATAGTATGCTTTCACACTGTTTGTCGAATCTAGATCACCAGAGTTCTATCGCAAAGGCATAAATGATCTTCCTATTAGATGGCAGCAATGTATAGATAATAATGGTAATTATTTTGATTAAATAAATATGTTAAATTAAAAAAAAACGATTTTCAATTTTTCAGGACAAATCGGCAATTTCATACTTTAACCCCTATTATAATAATCCTACTAACACTATAAATGAAAAAGTTTGTGACAGTGTATGGATGTACATATTTGTTACTCCCTCACGCAGAAGCTACTAAACAGATTTTGATTCAACTTTACTGTAGCTTATGCACTAGAGTAATATAAAGGGTATAATTTACAAATATAAAGTAATATTTAATACATACATATTTGCATTACGCGGTCGTACTAACAATACTAACGCTAGTGTTGATGACGATGTCTACCCGATCGATTTCGGCCACGGCGGCCAATCTCACTGAGATTGACTGAGTCTCACTGAGATATTATAGTGCACAAGTGTACGCATGTACACAAGTGTAATGTCTATTCGTCTCACTCTCATACTCCGGCGCGACGACAATTCGATACGACCAGTGAAAGATCAAGCGTCCGACAAAAATAATGCGTATACCAGGCTTCGATTAACAATATCGGGTTGGCGTAAGACATCCGTCTCGGTAAATATAATCTTACTTGTAATGTGAGCGTATATTTCGATTAGTTCTATTGAAACACTGCGAGCGTAAACACATTCACAAAGCCGCAATGAAAGAAGAATTTTTTCGGACAGTGTCTTATTATCGATAAATACATGTAGATTCAGTCAATATTTTAAGATTTAACCTACGAAATAATATAAAAATGAAACTTTGAACAATTTTTAATCCGCCAAGAACATTTAGGGAAATTCAGAGAAGCAAACAGAAACAAAACATAACGATTTAGTTCACAAAGCAACAACGGGAAAAAGTGCTTTATGTTTTAATATAAGGTTGAATTTACAATAAATATAATAAAACTTACGAAATGTTCGTAAGTGTATGATGATAATTTGAAGATTTGCGACTTTATTACAAGGTGCTATGGTATTGATTAGGTTGAAAATAAAACTATTATAAGACTTTGTCTTGGTTCGTTAGTATACAAATGTAGCTGTAAGTATATATTCGCGCGGACAGAATTTAGTTTTGATTTTGTATGTGACATGTTATGTAGTAGTATTGTTGATCAAAGGTACCAGGGGAGCATAGCGCACCTGACGATGGCGGCGAGCCTGTTGTGCGTGGCGTGGGGCAGCGCGGAGAAGAGCACGCGGGGCGCTAAGTTGAGGGGCGGCGGGGGGTGCGCCGGGGGATGCGCGGGGTGCGCGGGGGGCGTGTAGGGCTCGAGGCGCGGGCGCTTGGCGCGGCGCGGGTGCGCGGCGGCGCTGCGCTTGGCGCGCTCGTGCGACTCTTGCGTTATGTTTATTGGCATCTTCCATGCATCTGTAATTTATGATTAATATTTAGAATATTTAATATTCTACATGCCTGAAAGTAGAGTATATTATGTTACTTCAAATCACAGTACATTTGTGAAATAATAGTAACAAGCAAATTAAACAAACATACATATATACACACGAACACAAACTAACTCTCGCGTTTATAGTAGTCGTCCAATTAATTATGTTATTTCATGTAGAAAATATGAGAGTTGTTTGAAGTATGTACGCAACGTTGAATGGATTTGGATGAAAATTTTACACGACATACACATAATGTTAAATATATCGCATTTGGCCAGCAGGAACGCCGTATCCGTGCAGAAATAATTTTTTTCACGTCATCACTACATAATTATTAAAGGAAATTAATTGATTTTAAAACTAAATTGTATTATTTTTAACATAAAATTGTACATGACGAACATTGTCATCCTGTGGAATATTATAATGTATGTGTGTAATATTTTATAGCTATTTTGTAAAGAAGTATATATTATGAACATTTAAACTTACTCATCAAATGTGATACCAGGCTGTAGTCCATTCTGAACGGACTGGTGAGGTTGAACTGTTGATATTTCGCATTTTCGATCTGAAAGTAAGTCAAATTGTACATGAAAGAATTAAGTTATTTATGGTATTTTCAATTTTGTTTTATAGTTGTACTTAAATAGTATATTTTTTTTCAAAAATACAGATGATAAACGGGGAAGGGGGGGGGGGGGGGGTATATAAAACTTGTAAGAAGATAAGACAATTCTTATCTTATTGCTCTTGGTAAAAATGTATGACATAATTTTTCCAAAAGTTTATCACACGCGTTCGTGTATATGTGCGTGTGTGTATATAAACATCGTGGTCAAGCAGCCAAGGCGCAAGATTGACAATCATAGGTGTCCGGGTTCAAATCGCATTCGGATGTAAAGATTTTTTTTTCGCAGGGGTGTTGTAGTGTGTGCGTAAGCGATCCTGCAACGCTCAATTGGACTGCAACGATACGTTTTATTGAGTAAGTCTCACAGTACCCTGCCTGTTGACGGCCGGCAGGATCTCCATGAGGGGTGCGTGTGCGTGTACCTGCGCGAGCGCCGTCATGTTGCCGAGAAGTAGGTCGGTGAGCCAGGCGGCGCCAACGACGGGCACGCCCCAGTCGCGCGCGCGGCGGTACTTGGCACCGTCGGCGCGCTTGGCGACGAGCACGGTGTTGTCGCGGCTCATGTAGGGCGTGAGGCGCGCGCCCAGCTGGCGCAGGCAGCAGGCCAGGCGGCGGCGCTCGTCGCGGCGCCAGCCGGCCAGCGCGGCGCGGTGGTGCGCGGCGGGGCGCTCGGCGCGCGCGTGCAGCGCGGGCAGGTGCAGCGCGTGCCAGGGCGGCGCCACGGCGCGGCGCTCCAGCGTGTCGGCCACCCAGTAGGCAGTGACGCAGCGCTTGGCGTCGCGCAGCGCCTGCATCACCACGCCGTGTCGCTGCGTCTCGCACAGCACGTGCGTGACGCGCGCGCAGTAGCCCGCCTCCACCTCGCCGCCGCGCCGCACGATCGCATCCGTCCATCGGGACACACGCTCGGCACCCACCGACTGCTGGTACTCCACCTTTGTACACACATGTTTTATGTATGTTTCAGTACTTGATTTATATTCAATTTTAATTTATTCGTTAGATAATAATGATTTACGTTAGATAATTTTAAACTAATACTCTTAAATAAAAAATGTTAACACCTCAAACAAAAAGAAATTAGAATACAATTAAAAAAACGAACCCTTAAAAATAAAAAAACAATTCCCATTTAATGGAAACCGAAGGAATCAACGGCTCTTTACCCTCTTAATGGTTTAATATACGTCGGGGTATTGCTAAGTTTATACTCTCTATTTTTGTTTATTTTAATTTTAGTCATTTCTTAACTAATACTAAAGTAGTGTACATACGATGTGAAAAACACATCCGAGCAAGAAGAGATCTGGCGGCAGTTTTAAGTTTGGGTTGTGTCCGTAGAACTGCGCGCGTGGGGGAGCCGCGCGCACCGCGCCCGCGTACACCTTGTTGCCCACCACGCCGGCACTACCCGCCTGAAAGGCAATCCATACATTACGGACAAGTGCTAGTCGGACTCGCTTACCAATTTTCCGTACAAATTTACGGAAATCTTTTTAACTTTAATTTTCATTTTTTTTAAGTTTTGGATTTTTTCCTTTATTTGTGTCTTAACGGGAACTACCATATTCGACCCAAAACCGTCGGTTTTCGACCCAAAACCTCGCTCTCGTTACCCATTCACCAGCTTACTCCCCAAGTCAAGCGTGCGAAAAAAGTTTTACTTCAAAAATTTTGACGACACGACTGGCTCAGTTTGTAGTGACCCTACTTGTTGTGCCAGTGGTCGCGGGTTAGAGTACCGCTGGGGGCATTCATTTGTGTGATGAGCTTGTATGTTTGTACTCCACTCATGGGTGTTTATATTTATAATATGTATGTATTTAAAGTTATATATGTGTAGTGTATCAACTATCTGGTATCCATAACACAAGCCTCGTAGCTTACCTTGGAACTAGATGGTACTGTGTGTTATTAAAAAAAATACAAATAAAGCGAGTACACACGACACGTACCGGCGCGGGCACCGCGTGCGCGTGGTGCGCGGGGCCCAGCAGCAGGCGCGCCGGCGCGCGCACCGCGCCGCCCGCCACGTGCGCCGCCGTCATCAACCTGAACATACCATATTTACTTTTTTATTACATCATATTATTTCTTACTACAATATATGTATATACAATAATTTTATTACAAACTACAATTATTATAAATGCTATACTTTATGTGCGTGCGTGTGATGTGAAGAGACCTTATGATGTGAAAAATAGGCATTTTACGATATCAAATTTATACTAATATTATAAATTTGAAAGTTTGTGAGTATCGATGTATGGATGTTTGTTACTCTTTCACGCCAGAACGGCTGAACGGATCTGGATGAAATTTATTGCACAGAGATAGATTATAGTCTGGAATAACACATAGGCTACTTTTTATCCCGGAAAAATATAAGGTTCCCGTGGGATAGATATGTTTTTGTTCAAGAGTAGTTAAATATACCAGGCTTTTTATGATGGTACGCTGCTGTACAGAAATCATTTTGTTAATTTTTTAAATTATTTTTTTCTATTTATCATTTGTATAATTATATATCTTGTGAGTAGTGTATCATAATAAAAGTTCCATTAATTAATTAATTTAAATGGAAGCCCGTGTGTTGCACCTGAGCGTGCCAGCGGCCGAGGGCTCGTGGTCGGGCGGCGGCGCGGCGCCCTGCAGCCGGATGGACAGCATGTTGGCGAGCGCTGTCTTGGTCTTCGGGTTCACCAGCAGGGCTCCTGCCCCAGCTGTACGTACAATAAGCGGGAAAAAATCATATCATTTATTTTTATATTATATGTACACTAATATGTGCACAAAAATTAGAAATGAGGGAAACTGCGTGCAATAATTAACTTTCTTAGATTTACGCGAATAATTGACATTTAAAATTAACCTACCATATCGGATTTTTTCGTGGATAATTTGTAATGATTTTTACTTTCGAATGCTTTACAGAAAATAACGGTCACGGGAGAAAGTCTCTCCGAAAAAAAAACGAAAAAACATTTCTATTTAAAATAAGAATTAACTATTAGTTGTCTCAGTGCTTATTTGTTCAATATTTGTTGTACCTAACAGTAGAGAGAATTTTTCCTCTATTTTAAAAAACAGAGTTTTATTTCTAAGATTTATATACATATATATATAAAATACATCTTTTCGGCTTCATTGAAGTAAAATGTGTATTTCATACCAATTGTAAGACTCAATAATTCTGTATTAAAAACTGTTTCGATAAATTGGTCGTTTGGACAAATAAGCATTGAGACGACGTAGTAATACTACCTTGTTGTTGTTCCGGAGTAGTTGGCGTCAACAATGCGTCAACCTGTTGCTCTTGCAGCGGAGCTACAACATGCTGCGTGACTGGCGCCACCTAGGTCAAACAGATATTAAAATTAATACTATACACTAAAAGCTTGCTTAATTTTAAAAAATCTTGTATTCTTATAATAAAATGTAGAACTCACCTCAAAAAACACCTATGAATATAACAACTGATATCAATAAAAGAAAATTATACAGTACAATAAAATCTATTTGTAGGTTTATAAATCTAAAAATATAACATGTAATAAAAAAAAAGATAAAACTGAAATGGTGTCAAAGTTATCTAATATTATTGCGAAAACATTAGTTTTTGAGCCCTAAAAGAATTCAAAACAAATTCAGACAGTCTTTAGAACATTTAAGTTTCTTTGAGCAATTCATCAATTTAACGGGGCAATCATTCATTTTTTTTAATAAAAAAAAATCCGACCCGAATGGACAAGCGATTGCTGTACTCGATCGAAAAATGTACAATTTTTAATAATATTGGTGAATTTACACAAATTAACATTAGCTAATAAGTTTAATATTATAAATGAGAAAGGTGCAGCGTAAAAAAATAACAAATATACAGTATATTTGTTTGTTTTTACTCTGTAACAGCTTACCGATTTAAATGAAATATAAAACCATCACCAATACAATAATCGGGAATAATCGGGTTACTTTTTCTTGCTATAATGACTGGAAGGATTCGGATGTAAAATGCACAGATAGACGCAGTGCTAATGTAAGTAGCTAGTAACAATAAAACACTAACGAACCTTACCCTTCCTTCGTTCGGATGTATCTCTAGCGGGGCTGCCAGATCGTATAATTGGATACGAAAATTGTAAAATAAGGTTATTTTATGTGTATTTCATTTTAAGATATTACGTATTTTTATTAAAAAAAATATTCGTCACAGACTATTTCTCAACAGTTTTGTTAATTCGCATAAAATTTGATTTGGTATAATTTCAGTGACCCATCGGTATAAAATAAGTTGGCTTTACTGGCAGCCCTGATCTCTAGGTGCATAACAAAAGCCGACAAATTGGTTCAACGGCCAGTTTTTCAACTTCAATTAAAGCCATTATCATTTCTGACAGTAAACATTTTTATTGGAATAAAAAAATAGCCTACAGGGCTTGGTTTGACCTGTGGTTGGATCAGTAGTTTTAGAGATTATCCCGTTAATATAAACTTACAAATTTTACCTTTTCATAATATGAGTGTAGTAACAGATGTTTAGTATGTAATACGAACCTGTTTCGCTGCTGCATGGTGGTGTTGCGCGTGGTCGCGCTGCGCCTGCAGCTGCTGCAAGCGCTGGTACTGCTGCTGCCGCTGCATCTGCTGCAGGGGCGTCTCCACCGCCGCGCCCCCCACCCCGCCCACATTGCCCACGCTACCCGACACAGATCCTCCCACTACAGGGAAATTGATTATTATAATAATGTTTTCCTGACCGATTTCGGCCATGGAGGCCATTCACACTGGAGACTAGCCAACTGCGCAGGAGATATGGTAGTGCAGCGCGTGTGCGTGCAGAAATATCGTAGCCTTAGTGCCTATTTGTTCAAACCACCAATACTTGTTGTACATTACAGTAGAAAATCTTTATTTAAGATTTAGATTTATATAGATACGTATATATAGTACATCCTTTCGGTTTTTTAAAAGTAAATTGTGTATTTTATACCAATAGAATTGACACTGAAGAAATAGAATAGATCACTAGAATTGATCACTTGGACAAATAAGCACTGAGACGACGACATGTGCAATCTTTATTCCCGTCACTCTAAGCCTCCGGAGGCACGATAGTTCAGGGCGGCCGATCATAAGAGATCAGACACAGGACCGACTGCTTAATGCACTCTCCAATGCAGGGATCCGGTCTGTTACCAAGAATTTCTTTGACAAATAAACTCAATAACTAAACTTGGCCCAAACCGGGACTCGAACCCGGCAGCTAAGGTAATTGAAAATTAATTGACTATTACCACTTATTCCAATATCCGTGGTTATCCATATTAGCGATAGCAATTTGACATAGTTTATACATCGGGTCTACAGACAGGTTATTGTAATCCGCCATTAGTGTTAGTTTTGTGATTAACTCCTAAATGATATTACTTGTTAATAGATTTAACGTACATTTGTTTTACTTAAATAAAATGTAAAGGTTTGTTAGAAAAGTCATCCGTCGATATCTTTATAACGAATTAAATCCGTTGATAAGTAATTCATCAAGAAATTAACAATTTGTTTTGCCCACAACACCGCCACCGAGCCTGATATCTACAACTACACGTTTACCACCACCACGAATAAAAAAAAAGAATAACATTCCAAATATAGTAAGTCAGTCGTCGTAAAGGGTTTCCGATAATATAAAGTTAATTTTTATGAAACTTCAAATGTCTACACTAAAAAACTTAGTTCATTAACGTCTATGTACACAAATACGTGTATGTAAGAAGGGTTTACTTACATTCTGTTTCAGGTGAATCCATCAGAATTCACGCGACTAGAAACTACACTAAATGAAATAAGGACACTTCACGTCTAAATGATTTTATTTTTATTCTCTTTATATTAACAAACTCTATTTATAAACGTTTCCTTAAGAATTAAAAACTTTAATAACAGCTATCTAATATTATAGTACGAAAGTGGAACTTTCTAACAAGTAACTCTTGGACGTAAGTACAAAATTTATTCATCGGCGTATTAGAACATGAGGCAAGTATCACATTGAAATTATAATTTGCCTCTGCTGTCCGCCATCGTTATGTATGAACCGTAATATGAATACCAAAACTAAACTGAAGCATTCCTTCAAATTTGCCCGAAAGTCCTTTCAGATACCTAAAAATATACCTAAAATGTGAAAGAGACAAACATATTTACAATTTGCATAGCTATAATCCATCACACTTTTTTAGTTTAAAAAAATAAACCTATCAATGTTTAACCTTTTTGGATGACTCATAATTTTTTAATATTCTTATTCTATATTATGTATACTATTTATATTATTATTGAACAAATAAAAACACAGATTAGGGTGTGGTTGTTGAGAAATGAGATATGGAAGTGAAAGGTGAAATATAAAAAATTGCCTTTAATATAATATGTATGTGTAGAAAATTAAAAAGCATGATGGATGACATTACATGTGAGTTACATAATATGAAGTCTAATATTATTATTTACATTTTACAATAGGAAATATGCGTGAGATTCGAATAAAGGTGAAACACTTTTATAAACATTTTTTTATGTAATTTCTTTTTCATTAAGAAAATAATTATTAAAGTGCAAATATAGTTGACAAATTCAAAATAGTTGAAACGCAACGCCATTGGTCAGACCGAATATGACGTCAAAGTCTATAATAACACAGCCAGCGTTTTTGACTCTAAATATTGCTTAAGTAACCGTCGTCATTTTTAGCGACAAAATTGATAAATTGGCAACACTGGCTCTGTTATTAGAGACTATGACGTCACGCCAAGCGTACGATATCTTTGCGTTTAAAGTATCCGTATCCATATTGGTATATCTTTTACAATTTTTTTTATAACAAATGTTAGTTTTTGGGAACTGGATATTTTCTTACAATTATTATACAACGATTTAAATTGTATAAAAAATAAAAAAAAATCACGCATATTCACTATTGACCGACTTCAAAAAGCAAAAAGTATCAATTTCTTGTATGCTAATTTGTGTTTATTTTATTTCAGTTTTGTTACGCGACATCATTGTTTCACGCGATTTTTGTGATAGTTTGTTTAATAAGTAGATTTTTTAAGGGTGGTCGGACATGAATTTAAAGAAAGATTTCCATCTATTAGTGGTATAATTGTTTTTGAAGTCGGTGCACCTTTTAAGTTAAAAAATAATACATTTAGAAAAAATAATAAAAACTTATTGTGGCATAATTATTGATCTGTCTGATTGGCATTGTCTACTACCCCGGAGGTCACAGTTAGAATTCCAAAAAGAAATAAAAATTCCAGAAAGGTGCATAATTTTATTGACAGATGATAACTAAAAATAAAAACCGACTTCCAGGCACTAAAATGTAAAAAATAACTACTCCTTTAGTTCAGTACAGCCGAAGCATAGGAAATCTAATATATTTCAATACGTAAAATACATATTTACCTATTACATATTCATATCTTAAAATATTGTAGGCTGGCACCGACTTCGAAAATACCTGATTAGGTATCTATTCTAAATGAAAACCTCCTTTAGTTATTTTTTAAATTTTAGTGCCTGGAAGTCGGTTTTTATTTTTTGTTAAAAAGTTTTTATTTTTCCATTTTTAGTGTAGACGTTATAAGCAGGTAGTTTGTAAGACGAAACTTTTTTAATAACATATTCGATTAAACAATTTATTTAAAAAATATATTTATTGTTGATTTTTTTAAAAACCGCTTGACTGATTTCGACAAAATTTATATGGGACCACCTGGGAAGTATACCCTTTCAAACAACACAAAAATTTTCCAAATCGGTTCACGAGTCTTCAGTAATCGGTGAACATACATAAAAAAAAAAGATTTCGACGAATTGAGAACCTCGTCGTTTTTGGAAGTCGGTTAATTATAAAGGCGACTGCGCACGTAACTGCATGCTTCAAAAGCACCCAAGTATAATAATGAAGCGTGAACCGCCCTAAAATAATACTGCCAATAATAATAGAAAACTATAAAATTCAAGAACCACATCTCTTTCCCATAGAGAATAATAAGTGAAGATGAGTGAATATAATGATTAGAGCAATTAATTATACATAGAAAATATAAAGAAACATTGTATATACTATAAACATGTATACAATCTCTTACCAGGGGACTGTGGCGGTTGCGCGGGCTGCGCGGTGGGGATGGCCGCCGTCCTGGCGCCTTGCTGTTGCAACCATTGCACCTGTTGAAATTTAATTATAGGTATTATATTTGTAAAAAAATACCCGCTTTTTGTGCTTATATTATTGGGAAAGTTTGTATGTGTATGTTTATTGCTTCTTAACGCGTAAACGTGAGGTAGCACAGAGGCTACTGAGGAAAGTAGTACTTTTTATATATCCATCAAATGATATAATTAATTAAAGAAGTTATTGTCAGTGTCTCTTAGGAGATAGACATATGCTGTTGCATGCCTTTTGAAGACCTACAATTTTCGGTTTTATGTATCTCTTAAGGCTTATAGTTTAGATATACAGACAAAAATTTCAATAATCGTCGTTTCAATAGGTAAATTAAAAAAATATTATACAATAACTAGCGGCTCACCCTCACTACACTCGGGTTCGTCCCTAGATACATTTTTAAATAGATATAAATAGTTATTACCCAGCGTTAGCCATATAAATTTTAATTTTATTTTTCTTGAATTTTCCGATGTTTTAATAGTTATCCTGCTATTCGGGGCTAATCTAACAAATCCAAGATCATCAATATAGGTGCAGCCGTTCTCGAGTTATAAGTGTTGTAACAAACCCGACTTTGTTTTATATATAGACTAGCATTGCCCGCGGCTCCGCCCGCGTTCAGATGACCAAAAACTAAATTCTTAGGTGTTACATATTAGTATACTCTTACATTGCAGTTTTTGTATTTTTCCTCAGAAATAAGATATTTTCCCGCGGTAAAAAGTATCCTAGGATCGCGCGCTACATCGCCCGGTTTATATAGCTTGAGCAGGCGGTCGAGCGATGCGGGGCAGAGGGGATGGACTCGCCGTAGGCATCTCAATGCTCGCCAAGCATTAAAAATGTTTCGCTACTAATTACTTCTAACAACGATATCTCAAAAACTATTCATCTGATTGATTTAGTGTAAAGAGCAATTTTAATCTGCATTAAATGACTAAGCTAACTAAAATATTCATTTGGATAAGGATTAATACCGAACTAAAGAAAATAACTTTGAAAATAACGTAATGTTTTTAATTAAAAATGTTAACATAAAAGTGGTTATTGTAAGTCAACCGTAAGAGATAGAGATATGCTATCGCGGACTTTTTTGTAGCATTTTTATAGATTTTGAATTCTCTAGTACATTACTTAACTGTATCTTTGCTAGTTTACGCGGCGTTCGCGTGGAAAGTTCCCATTTGGCGAGATTTTTTGCGACCTCTTCAACATTTGTCGCCGTATTTCAGCTAATTTACATAAAAGCATAATAAATTATATACCTAAACCTTCCTCAAGAATTACTCTTTCTATTGTTGAAAACCGTATAAAAATCCGTTCAGTAGTTTTCGAGTTTATCGCGTACAGACAGACAGGAGGACAGACAGGAGGACAGAAAGACGCGGCCGGGGGACTTATTTTTATAATAAGTATAGATACTAGGTTGAATCCCCATACAAAATTTCATCTTCATTTTCACACCCTTAAGGGATGTTTTCCGGGATAATAATCCTATGTCCTTTCCAGGGTCTCAAACTATCTTCTTACCAAATTTCATTTAAATTGGTTCAGTAGATCCAGAGATTACCCCCTACAACGTCACAAAATCACAAACTTTACCTCTTTATAATATTAGTATAGAAGTATAGATAAAATGTACAGTAGTAGCAGCAATATATTTAGCTAATATTTTATATATATGTTTGGAAGATTTTACCTGTTGCTGCTGCGACAGCCCGGGGGGCAGCTGACTGCGGATGAAGGTGACGCTCTGCGGCGCGGGGGAGGGCGCGCCGGGCGAGCCCGACACTACCCCCGTTTGCTGCAACACAATAAACAAATAGTCAAACAAACAAACATTGTAGTTTTCTTGCACAATTCTTACATTATTTACATTCGTTTGCTAATTCTTCGTCTCAGTACTTATTTGTCCAAACGACCAATTTACCGAAAGAATTTTTGATACAGAATTATTAACTTTTAAATGTCAATTCTGTTGGTATTAAATACACCTTTTACTACTAACTACACTAAAGTCGAAAAAAATGTATTTTATCTATCTAAAACTTAAATAAATACTGAGTGTCACAGTGTTTGTGGTCGCACTCCTCCGAAACGGCTCGACCGATTTTAATTACTTTTTTTACTAAGCACGTCTCACTAAGTAATAAATTAGTAATATCATGAATTATAGGATATAGATAAAGGTCCAATACACTTTTAAATCTGTTAAGTACAGAATAATCTCAATGCAATTAGGATGAAAAAAATTGTTGCCAACAATTAACGCAGAAATAGTTATTATAAAAACCTAAGAACAAATAAATTTTATGAGTGAATTAAAAATAAGCAACAGTAAGATTTTATATAAAATGGATCATTTGTAATTAAAAGTTTTAAACAAGTTTTTAAAGTTATACTTCTTTTGGGAAGTTTGGAAAAAATATGAGAGTAACATTTTTACGATGCGCGCGCACACCGACAGCCAAAAATCGACATGATGAAGTTAGCTGATAAGTGTTTATTGCCATGGTAACCGTTGTTATTGTCTTATAAATGATATATGTATATATAATATTATATTCTTTCCTTAAATGATATATGATTGTAATATACCTATATATATAATTATCATATTAATTATATTAAGTTTATTATATTAAGTTATCATTTCTTTTACAAACAGAGAGCTGTGACATACGGGATGAAATCTTTAGCTATTTTTTTTCTGTTACGCCAAAGAAATATAACTTCTTACGCAGTGCCAGAATTAACCTTAGCGCTGCCCCTGGGCATAGTAAAAAATGCCGCACAATTATCGAAATTTTGCAAACAATGGGTTAAGTTTCGGCAAAGTTTTTTTTAAAGTAAATAATAATACTTCAATCCAGTATAATGTATAAAATACAATGTTATTAATCTATCTATCTATACATACTTGCTGCTGCGCCAAAGCGGCCGCTCGCTGTATGGAGAGCTGTCGCCGCTTCTGCAGTTGGGCGACGAACATCGCTCTCTGCTGCGGGTCCATCTGCTGCAGCTGCGCGTGCGTCTGCGCGTCCAGGTGTATCAGCTGCCGGCCGCCGCCGCCCGCCGTCCACGACACCTGCAACACCTTGGTATTGAGGAAGAGTAGATGTAGTGGTTTAGTGTCACTTTCATCACTAAATAATAATAAATCGATATTAAATAATAACGGCCGACTATTACATTCGATTATTATTAGGGCCTATACATTAAACGCACCGGCAACACGCGTATCATGTCAACGCGCCAGCGATTTAAGTCGTTGTATGCAAACTGATAGAAAACACACGTATGTATGCTCACTATATGTAATGTATATATATATATATATATATATATATATATATATATATATATACAAAAATATATATGTATTAGAAGAACCCGCGGCTTCGGTCGCGTTAAAACTACAAAAAAATCTAAAAAGGTAGGTAGTATCATACAAATTTTTATCCCCCTTATGTGATGAATTTCGAAAAATGCTAAAATACGTATTTCTTTAATTGTATTGAAGAATATTGATACAAAGTTTCAAAATTCTGATAATCAATTTTTTTTTTGTTGTATTATAATGTTCTTTCCCGTGGGAATGAGATAATCTCCGGCGATAGAAAGTAGCCTATGTCACTCACCAGCAACTATCTCCACATAAAAAGTCATGCCAATCCGTCACTTTCACATTTATAATATTAGTATGGATATATAATATAACGTAAGAAATTAATAATGTATAGATAGTTTTGAAACATATATATTTTTAAACTGTATAGAGCTTTCGATAGCCAACGAGCATATTGCATAGCGCCAGGAGCTCTTAATTTTATTTCTTACGTTTTGAGGTATAAAAATGCCTGTAAATTTATTAAATATTGGTCAGAGAACGATTTTTACGGGTCAACCCTTGTTTTCTCCCTACTTTTTGCGGTTTGCTCATAAATTGAAAAAGAACTATTCATTCAAAAAACTGAACTTTAATGACTCCTACTGGCGAGCCAGTGCGAGTTACATAAAAAAACACTAGAGCAATGTCGTAGAGCGTGAAATTCCCCATAAGTTCCGTCAAACCGATTCACAATAGATATTGTAAAAGGCGGCCAAGCATTAGAAATTTGAAAAAAATACATTTCTTTTATATGCAATGTATTTGGGAAAACTTCAAATTTAAATAGTAAGAACTTAAAATTGATATTAAAAGCTCAAACTTGGTGAGAATTTTTTTTATATGTAGATTAATATTTTGCTTGAGCACTGAGAATTTTTTTTTTGGCGGAAATGAATCACCTAATTATTTATGTATAGCTTAATAGTTAGTCTCAGGGAGATTAGCAGCAGTGACCATAAGTTGGTTAGCTATTAGTATAATAAAGTTATTGGATTTTTAAATAAGCTTTTACAATTTTTAAATGTTTTAAAGGATGAATTTAACTGTTATTCCTAGTTGCTACTGATAGTTGCATGCAGTTTGGTTGAGGGAAGCAAAGTTATTTCGTTAGTTTGAGCTAAGAATTCTTTTCACAATAAATCTTATTTTTACTAAAACGATAACTAAATAGTATAAAATATATACATATATTAAAAACTATTTCCCAATGACAGTATAAAATACTGAACTGCAATTCTGAAAATCTATAAATTAGATATATAAGTTGAGAAAACATATTTTATTATGCATAATGAAAAGAATTCTCTATAAAATATGGGATGTATATATGTATATATAATACAGCCAGTATTACATATGTTAGTAAAATAGCAAAAATCCTTACCCTCGGTCCAACTGCTCCTGGCTGTCCAATCTGTTGCCTCTGTTGCAAATACTGCTGCTGCTGCCACGATACATTCTGTCCTCCTTGTACTATTTGTTGTCCTCCTGGAGACACTATCTGTTGTCCACCACTATGAGTGATTATCTGTTGGATTCCTCCTGCAGAAAGTTGTGTTCCAGGCTGCGGAGATTGCGGCACTTGTGTTAAAACTTGCTGATTCTGTCCAACAGTCTGCCCCATTATCTGCTGGCCAGACTGTGTCACCAATTGTTGTGAAGATTGGGCTATCACTACTTGGTGCTGTTGGCCTTGCTGTGTGATTACATGTTGACCACCTTGCGACAGTACTTGCTGCCCACCTTGTGTGATTATCTGTTGCCCTCCTTGATTCACTATTTGACCACCCTGGTGTACAATTTGACTCTGAGATACTATTTGCTGCCCACCCTGCAAGGTTACTTGTTGATTACCATGTACTAGTATCTGTTGCTGTCCTGTATGTTGATTTATGAGAACTTGCTGAGGTGCTTGGACAATTTGTTGTTGACCAGAGCCATTTAGGAGCTGTTGCTTCTGTACCAATATTTGGTGATGTGTCTGGCTTATAGTTTGGCCTTGGCTGTTGATAGATTGTTGAAGTATTTGTTGAGGTGATTGTTGAATTGTGTGTTGTGGGCTCAACTGTTGTTGTTGATTGTTAATTAAAGCTTGCTGTTGAGTTTGCATAATTTGTTGTTGCAATAGAACTGGGGGATTCCGTGATTGGACTAGTGGACTTCTGATTATCTGATGCTGTCCTTGGACATTTTGAACCATCTGGATATTTTGTTGTCTCCATGTATTTTGAACAGGTACATTATTTCCCTGTTGACTTTGTATATTTTGTTGAACCGTTTGAATTTGTTGCCCTATCACTGATTGTTGAGTTGTATTACCAACAAGTTGGTTCAGTTGCCCACCTGGACCACTTTGAGCTTGAGACGATGAAACTAAGCCTTGTTGATTAACAACACCCATGTTTATGTTTTGCTGCTGATTCGTCATAGATTGAACAGTTTGCTGTTGTTGCATTAGGCCCTGATTCTGTGTAGACATTTGTTGCCCAGAGTTAATAAGTTGTTGTTGATTTAATACTTGAGATTGGCCTAAGTTTTGATTTAGTTTAGCATTCTGTAGACTTTGTTGCAGATTTTGAGTAGATTGGGCTAATTGTTGGGCAATATTCTGTACAGCACTTTGTTGACTTAAAGTTAAACTTTGCTTCATAACCATATTCTGCTGGTTGAGCTGAGCTTGTTGCAAATTATTAGCACTTTGACTTAACATTTGACTGATATTTTCAATTTGCTGCTGTGCCGAGCTCATTGAAGTGTTCTGATTTTGTTGTATATGATGTTGGTTACTTTGAATATGTTGCTGTATTTGATTGGAAATGTTTTGAGTCATTTGAGACCCAGATACATTTGATTGAGAAAAACTTTGTTGATTTTGTTGGTTTCCAATTTTCTGTTGCAACATTTGCATTTTTAACTGATGTTGCTGTAATAACTTTTGTTGTTGTATTTGTATTGCAGACAGACCATGTGGCTGTTGCTGGAGTTGTTGAGACTGATTATAGTTTGGTTGTTGCATATTTACTTGTTGATTTTGATTCATTCCTTGTTGTGAGACTGTTGAGTTTTGGGCCATTTTCTGAATAAACTGTGTATTCGCCTGGCTACTTTGAATTTGCAAGTTTTGTGTGACTATGCCTTGAGGAATGGACTTATTTATAATATTTGGTGTTGACATAGCAGTAGTATAACCCATAGAATTAACATTAGAAGTTACAGCTGCAGATGAGTTTGCAGTAGATGGGGGATGATTCCATGGCATTCTTTGCTTTAGTTTATCCAGCAATGCCTGTGTACTCTCATCTTTATTTTCTGCCATATTTTGGGTGGGCACTTCATTCTTTGCAATACCCTCTTCAAAATCAAATCCAGTTATAGCACTGATACGATCCATTGGTTTGGGTGGTGGCTGTGGCACTACAAGCAATTTCGGGTGGAACACCTCTGTGACAGCTTGTATTCTTGCCCGTAAGCTCTCAAATACCCAGTCAGGAGTAACAACTTTAATCTTAGAAAGTGTAAGAGCAGCACTATATTTCTTTCCAGATGCAGATCCACAAATTAAGTGACTACACTGTGAATCTAGATTTAGCTTCACTTTCCCACCATGGTATGTTATAATTGCAAATAACACTTTCGCGTCGGCTGGACTTACTTTAGAAACACAAGCAGTAACATTAGAAAATATTTTGTTCTTGCTAGGGAAGTAAGGCTTCGGATTAGCAAGTTTCTTTAGTCGAGCACACGCAAGGACCCAATTTTCAGTCACTGCAGGGATCTGATAAATGTCCTGAGCGTCGTCGAGGTCCGTATCAGCGGCATTTGGGCCACAAATTAGATGAGTGACATAATCAGAAAAATATTTTGTGTTTTCTGCTCCTCCCGACTGAAGTAACTGCATAATCTGCAATTACAATAAAACAAGGGACCAGTTATACTACAATTCGAGGCGTAAATAAAAATAAAAACAAGAATACATGTCAAAAACAAACCCTTTCCGAGACATCGCCAGAGAGGTAGTACTTGACATCCTTGAAAACTGGCTCTTGCAAAGTTAATGAACCTAAATCGTCGACAATCGTTACCATTTTCTATTTCAACAGAATTATAAAAACTTCAGTTTACATAAACATTGTTATTATACTTTTATTCGAGCGCCGAAAACTAAAAACTCAAGCAAGAACGTCCATCATGAAAATATGTGAAATTACCATATCAGAAAAAGTTTTAGTGATTATAAAAGCTTTTTGAGTAATTTTGCCCATTTAGATTAAAATTCTCTAATAGGAATTACTCTATTTAAAATATACTTCACATTAATTAATTATGACGTAAGTATGTTTCATTATAACCTTTCTATATATAATATGCTGGCAATAATTTAGATTATAATTTCTAAAACAAACTAATCGAAAAATATACAAAGATTTTTCAAATTATATCAATATAAATATTTTTATAATTGTATAATAAAATATGTATATTATAAAAAACATATAGTGAAATTGTTAATAGTTTTGAGGGCAAAAATAGTCTGCTTAGTATAGAATATTTTTTAACTAGGTGGCGTTACCTGTCCTCTAAAATCTAAATCGCCAGTTTGAGTTCTACTAATTTTGCCTTTTCTCCCCCTAGATGTCGCGATCACTATAGCCCTCACTAAGTTTAAAGCTCATCCACGGTTTTTTTATTCATTTTATTTAAGCTTTAATTAAAATGACAAATTTTGCACTGCAAGGATGCAAAGAAAATGGATATCATTTGTATTCAAATGACGAAAAAAAAGAAATTGTGGGCTAAAGCAGTAAGACGATCAGAATTGGCGAAATCACAATCTTTATATTTAAGGCTATGTGGACATCATTTTGAAGAAAGTGATTTTAAAACTCTTAAATCTTCTACGGGTGAATATTTTTTAAAGTTAAAACTTCTGTAGGCAGGTTTGGGTGGGGAGTAAGGCTGGTAGATTTTCATTCGTGTAAAAACGATTATCCGCAGTTTTCATACGTTGTCATAGTGAGTAGACGTCAGTGATGAATCCACGCTTGGTTGTTCTTTCATATTGGTATCGAAGGCGCCAACGGTTGCTATTCAATTAAAAACGTATGGCACCGTGCCGTGTGTAAGAGATAGAGCTAAACTATGCGCCACTGCCACAGATAATTTAGGTTGTAATGTCTGTGGCCACTGCAAACCGAATACGTTAAAATTCATTCGATTTGCTTGACAAGTCCGGTGAGTATTCGTTTAAGAGTTGCGGTGTATAAATGGTAATATGGTTTTATACATTTTTTTGCAGTACAAAAGACGTGTGAACGGTTCTATGTACAAGTATGTGCCTCTTGTATTCGTTAGGACGTATACTGCAAAAAAACGTACCGGGCCGTGCCGTCTGAACCCAGTCATCATCGACATGGTCACGTGACGTGTTAACGCTAACACTCAGAGTGCCGATAGATGTCAGAACCAGATAAATATAAATAGTTTTAATTAACAAATTCTAATCTTAGAAACGATAATTTAAATACCTATCCAAAAATAACAACTGTTTGTTTATAGTTTTAAATTTTCACTTCTGTCGGCAGTTCTCATGGCTGCTTTTTTTAATTTTTTTTTACATATGTATTACAGAATTTCATACAAACTTTCTTCCTTCTTATTTTACCCCATTATAAGATTGAATTTCCAAAAATGCTAATACACGTATTTATTTAATTGTATAGAAGAGCATCAATACCAAGTGTCAAGTAATTCTGAACATAAATAATTCTGTGCCCATATACTTGTAAACTTTATTAACTCCTTTTAACCCTTTGCGGGATAAATTTCGAAAAAGTCAATTATATATATCTTATTTTTTATCTTAAAGCTAAACACAACTTTCTGTGTAATATATTTGAAGAATGACAGAGTTTCACATAATCTTTAATCCCCTATTTTACCCACTTAGCGTATGAATTTCAAAAAAATCTTTCTTTTTGGATGCCTACATCATATAAGGAATACGTCCTCCAAATTTCACGTTTCTATGTCCAGCGGTTTAGGTCGTGTGTTGATCCATCAGTCAGACAGGACCACCGCCGGATGCACCTCTTCTTCTCAATTCTCTCTTCAGCTGGTCTGATGCGAACACAATAGCAGCAAAAAACTAGGTATAAAAGAGATATATAAATTGCTTAAAAAAAGAAGGACAAACAAATAAACAAACACACTTTTACATTTATAATATTAGTAAGTACAGATATAGATATACTAGTAGTACATATACGTAACGCTGACTTGTAATATTTGTACTAATCTTCAAATCATTGAAATGTAATCAAGAATAAAGCGTATGAAATATCCCAATTTTATTTAGCAAATCTCGTAACCTTTTAAAGATGTAAATATCATTAAGGTGACATATTCGTATAACGTGAGAAGTATTTCTCAGAATACAGCTGCTCAGTTTGGAATATAAATTACACTAATTACATTTTGCATTCAGCCGAAATGTATTTATGATCACAACTTTTGAAATGAGCATCTTTTATTAGGTTAGATTTTTTATCTTCTACGAGTATACCTATATATAATAAAATTATAAGTGAGTCGAATCTGTACATTAAATATTTTTTGGTAAATCTTATTGAAAAAGTCATTATTATCGATACAGAGGCCGAATCGTTTTTAGAATTTTCGTCAGTCTGTCTGTGACCGCACCACGAGAAAACCACTCGACAGATTTTTATGAAATTTGATAATATGATCATAACTGGTTTCCGGGTCAACATATAGGACACTTTTTACGGCCAGAAAATATGCCATCTCTGAGAAATCTATACTAAACGTTAAAACTTGATTAGGCACGAACCCGAGCGGAGCCAGGGTGAGTCGCTAGTCTAATATATAAATTACTTAATTTAATGTTCACAGAGCTGCGACTGACAATAATTGACATGATCTTATACCGTTATCTATACTACTATTATTAAGAAAAAAAATGATTTTTGTACTATGTTTGTTTGCAATGGATAAACTAAAAGTCTGCTAAACTGATTTAGATTAAATTTGGTATGAAGATAGTTTAAGACCCTTTTTTTCTGTCAGGAAAAACCCTGTTCCCGGGTACCCGCTCGCCGATGGGGGATGCGAGACGGGTTATGTGGGGCGCCTACCGCGCAAAGATGGTAAACGCGCGGCAGCCTACCCACTAAAAAACCTGACAAACACCTCCTTCGCCTTAAGGCCGGGGCCACGGGTACCAGAAAGACTCTTCCGCGACCCCGACGGCGAGTGCCTGTTAAGGCCCGTCCCAAAGTCAGGGGCTGAGATGGTCGACCACCCTTGACGGCCTCCTCAACCAGAACACTGGACGGCTAACCTCCCCAAGTCGACCGCCCTCTGGCACCCTCACCCCCACCGTAGTGGGCCACCCCACATCCAGCTGCAGAGGACAGGGAGAGCGGCAACGACACACCGACACTCTTATTCCCCTGCAGCCCCACCGCGTCTGCCATCTAACGGTGGCGGCGCACCGTAATACCGGCACTCCTCTCCCGCCGCGGCCCCTCCCCTGCCGGTCGCAGGCCTGTCATCACAGTCCCGCAACTGGCACCCCCCGATCCGATCGCGGGACCACCAAAGCGGTCCCGCCACCAGTGGCCGCAACACCTTCGGCCGAACCTTTCGGCTCAAGGCCTCGACGAGCGGCCCCCACCAAGCCATTTGGTCCGCGCCGGATTTCTCCGGTACCACCCGTCCCTCTAAGCGGGTGGCATGCCCCTATCCGCCACCTGGAGGACGCGCCCGGTAGGAGTTGGCTTTTTGATATATATAGTCTTTCTATAACTTAAAAAATATAGACAACTGTGCGTTTGTTCTGTATTCCAATATTATGTCGTTCAAAGTATGGCGAAAATTAGACATACTTTCACACACGCATGAACACACATTTACACACACACACACACACACACGCAAAGGAGAAAAAATTGTGCAAAAAAATTATTTTTGATTTTAAATCATAACAGTGTATCTACCTATGTATCTTCTTATGATTGCCTGTACTGATAAACTAAATTTTATGTATTTACCACGTAACACTACGCAGTAATTTGGTGTGTAAAAGAGAGGAAAATGCCATATTCCCCGCCTGCCTTAGTGAACGAAAAGTGCGTCTTGACTCCTGTACCTACATGCTCTAGAAATCCTTGCATTACATCGATGTTTCCTTCCATCCGCTGTAAAATAAATTTTTAAAAATATAGAGATTTTAATTTCTTTGAAGTTTTATATTTCTATTTTCTAATACCTGTGTAGTTTTCCATTCAGTAAATTAAGCTTTTTAAATAAATCAAATCTTAGAATCCTTATTGAATATTGAGTAGGAACATACATATACGTAGTAAACTTAAACTACGTCACGTAAATAATACCCAATTGTTAACCATGTGCGTAGTAAAAATGTTGAATGACGCGAAATAACCGGTTATCTATACTATAATAAAACAGCAGAGGTCGAATGTCTGTACATAGCAAAAAAATGCTAAAAACCGAGTCAGAGGAATGTAAGAAGACAAATAGAACAGATCCAGATTTTTTTCAAATTTTTTGTTTTTCTGTCTGTTTGTCTGTTTGTACGGACTAATCTCCGAATCCATTGGACCGATTTAAATGAAATTTTGCACGGTGGTACCTTATATCCTCGGGCAACATCTTAGATACTTTTTATCCCGGAAAATTAAATAGTTCCCGTGGGACAGTCAAAAAACTATATTAACTTATACAGCTTAGTACACAAAAACTACTGATTGGATTTTGATGAAACTTTACAATAATATAGGTCATACATCAACAAATAGATTACTTTTTATCCCGGAAAAATATACGGTTCCCGTGGGATAGATGTTTTCCCGTGGGATAGATGTATTGTTTATTTGTAACGTATTATGTACACAACATAGACCCCAAAACAATAGTTATTAAAAAAATTGAGTGTTTGTCCGTTTGCCTGTATGACTGTTTGTCTGATTTTGTATGCGCGTTTCACGCGAAAAGTAATGGATCGATTTCAACGAAATTTGGTGAAGTGATAACTTATTACTCG